AACCCGACCACAGAACAGACAACAGCAGAAGGCCACCAACAGGTCTTCAATGCAGCGAGAAATTCCCGCACCCGGAGGCGTCCTTCAGCTGGCCCCTAAACAAATATATATACTAGTTCAGTGATAATGAACGCCATACTAAACTCCAAATTGTACACAAGAAACTAAAATTAAAAATAATACAAGACTAACAAAGGCTAGAGGCTCCTGACTTGGGACAGGCGCAAAAATGCGGCGGGGTTAAACATGTTTATGAGATCTCAACCCTCCCCCTATACCTCTAGCCAATGTAGAAAAGTAAACGCATAACAATACGCACATTAAAATTCAGTTCAAGAGAAGTCCGAGTCTGATGTCAGAAGATGTAACCAAAGAAAATAAACAAAATGACAATAATACATAAATAACAACAGACTACTAGCAGTTAACTGACATGCCAGCTCCAGACTTCAATTAAACTGATTGAAAGATTATGTCTTCATCATATGAAAATCAGGCACAATCCTTCCCGTTAGAGGTTTAGTATCATACCATCATAACATATATGAGAAGAACATAACCCGTGTCATGCCAACAACTGGTTTTTAAATAAATGTGTTTAGTGCCGATGCAAAGACCCTATAAGTGAATCAATATTAACGCCAAAATATGCAATCTTTAATGACCTGACAACAGTATCGTAACTATATCCCTTCTTAATAAGTCTATTTAAAGGTTTTGTTAGTTTCAGAGGTGAATACTGACATTTTTGTGCTTTATAAAGAATAATTCCATAAAAAATTGGATGTGAAATACCTGAACGTATAAGAAGTCTGCATGTTGAGCTATATTTACGAATGATGTCCTTATACCGATGATAAAATTTAGTAAATGTTTTGACTAGTTTGTGATATCGAAAACCCTGGTGTAATAATTTTTCAGTAATACATAAATTTCTCTCGTTAAAATCTAAAACATTGTTACATACACGAGCGAATCGTACAAGTTGAGATATATAAACACCGTAAGATGGTGACAAGGGAACGTCACCATCTAAAAATGGATAATTAACGATAGGAAATGAAAAATCATCTCTTTTATCATATATTTTAGTATTAAGCTTTCCGTTAATGATATAGATATCAAGATCGAGGAAAGGGCAGTGGTCATTGTTAGTATTAGCTTTATTTAAAGTAAGTTCAACAGGATAAATTTCTTTAGTATACATACTGAAGTCGTCATTATTGAGAGCCAAAATATCATCCAAATATCTAAAAGTATTATTAAATTTGTGTATCAGATGTTATTTCGATGGGTCTTTACTGATTTTTGTCATAAATTGTAACTCATAGCAATACAAAAAAAGGTCCGCAATAAGTGGTGCACAGTTAGTCCCCATTGGAATTCCGATAACCTGACGATATACGGAATCTCCAAAGCGAACAAAAATGTTATCTAGTAAAAATTCAAGGGCAAAAATAGTATCAAAGCATGTCCAATTGACATAGTTTTTTGGTTTATTGCTACTAAAAAATGACCTAAAAGAGTTTGAACATATATATTCACATTCTGACTTTTTAAATGAATGCTCAAAATTTATTGAAGACTTTCAAGATTTTAATACAAACAGAAAATTTATTGAAATTATGAATTGTACCAATATCCAGTATTATTTTTGCAAATGTTTACATAAATTTTATTTGCGTAGAAAATTATTTTTACAGTAATATTTTCCTATAATCAATTTTTAATGCTTTTATTTATAAGATGTTTACCCAAATGTGATCATTTTATAATATATCATATTTCATAGTTAATATATATCTTTTTTAATCCAATTTTTTTTTTATATTTTAAGTGACCTGTCCCATTTTGAGTATAACTTTTATGAGATTATATATAAGTTCAAACAGTATATTTTTGTATATATTTTGGTTTTAAGGATCAGTGTCTCATAAGTCATTTTTTGGCTGGATATTGATTGTTGTTTGTGTGTATTTGAATATTATGTGAATGCCTTGTCTCAATCAATATGTGACACTATAATAAACAATTTTATTCTTATTCTAATATTAAGTATTAATTCTAAGTTTGTAAGAGAATGATAATCCCTTACTTCATGATAAGTACTCGCTATCGCTCGTACTTAATCATGAAGAAAGGGATTATCATTCTCTTACAAACTTAGAATATTGTAAAGTGCTCAAGGCTCAAATGATCTATCAATTAGTTTCATTGTCAGTGCAATGTTTATAATTGATGCATGACTTCCTTTTTCGGCATGTCATTTATGGATTAGTTTTAGTGATGTGAGGACTTTCTTAACATTTGGGAAATATTTAAAAAAAAATGCGTTATAGATATTAGGTGACACAACAGTAGAAAGAAAAGGTAGGAATTGTATGTTTCCTGATTGTGAGTATGAATGTTAATCATGTAATATTTTAGTGAGGAATTATCCTTTTTTTATTTACAGTTTAAATCAATTAATACATTTGAGTTACAACTAAATTTTATTTCACAGCCAATAATTTGATCCGGCTTTTTACATCAAATACTGTTTCATTATGTCAGGGAAATGTTAAAAAATAATGCCCTTAAAAGTTTTTAATATGTTCAAAACTAAATTTCTGGGTTTTTTTTTATCGGAATACATGTATTGGAAATAACTATTCTCCCCAACCGCTGATCAAGTAATCAAAGTTTTGGAAAGCTAAAGATTTAGGTTATTTTTTATCTGAAAGATTTTTTTCCTTTTTTTTTTGCATTGCTTTGGTATTGTTTAATTTTATAGTAATTTGAAGTTATTAATATTTTCATAATAACATTCACGGTACCAATTTTACTGCACCAGTGAACAACTTATTTTGAGATTTTTGTTTGTTTCACAATTCAACTTTTAGTCAGTTTCAATCTCTCTGTGATAAATCCTTTCAATCTGATAAATGTGCTTCAGGGCAGTTGTAACTCATTTATAGAAACTCTTTGTTTTGAACTGTAAATAGACCCAAATAATAGGATAATCCCTTACTAAGAACATGATTTACATTCATTCTTCACAATTAAGAGGCATCCAATCCTACAATTTCATTGGTCGAGAGTACTTTGCTATATTCTAAGAAAAGGTATATACTACGAAATTAAGAGCTCGGGTCAAGCCCCTCGCTCTAAATTTCATAGTATATACCTTTCCATAGACTATATAAACCTAGATTTCAACTGTATATCATATTTGTTTTTCGTTTATTGTTCTGTACATAAATATTTGGTCTTCTTGTTTGAATTGTATTACATTTGTTATCTTCGGGGCTTTTTATTATAGCTTGCTATGCGGTATGGGTTTTGCTCATTGTTGAAGGCTGTACGGTGACCTGTAGTTCATTTGGTCTCTCCGGGTGGATAGTCATCTCATTGGAAATCATACCATGTATTCAAATTTTTATAATGAGTACGATCCGTCTTCAACGGGCTCTGGTGTTTTGAAATTTTTGAACACCTTTTGCAATGTAATGTTGAGTAGATTCTTCCGAAAATGCCGTCTGGCTTTTTTGAAATTTTTTTTTCCTTTAGACTACAACAAATGAGATCAAAATTTGGTAAAATGAGCGATTAATCATATCTTATTTTGGGATATAATAAAGAAAATAAAGAAATTTGATGGTTATTTATTCCATCCATTGTTAATCCTTCAATGTGTGACAACGATGTTGTTACGGGAATGTTTGACACAGTGCAACAGGTCCTGTTATTGAAACATAGATGCCGAAATGAAAGACAGTGACCGACGACTGGTCCCCTGTCTATGAAATACAAACCCACTGGCGAAACTAACTCACAGACTGGTAGAGCGAATACAAACGATGAGTTTCAGTATGGATTTTTATTTTCACTTCAAATGAACCAGAGACATATATACGTCTCTGAATGAACGTATGATGTCAGTGCAAAAGGCCGACTCTGACTGAAGACTAACCTCAGTCGACAAATTATAAAGAATTAGATAGTCAATGTTAACAGATTGCCAAAGAATTAAGATTACATAATAATAAAGTTGACAAAATGATTTAACAAACATACAATTAGCACTTAAAAAAAAGAAACAATAGGCGATGATTGAAAAACGGATTAATGTCATTGTAATCAAACGTACTGAATAAGAACTGATAAACGGATATTGAAAAGAATTATCCATGTACGCTATAAACATGCATTAACGGATTAAAAAAAGAAATGAATTGAATAGTAGCATAAATTAACATAATCCCTTGTAGAGTTTTTCACACAATTTTAGATTAAAAAGGAAGATGTAACCACGAAAAATTAAAATAGCCTTTCATAATTATTTGGACTAAACCCTAATATGGAATATGTCTCGCCTATTCCCTCTCAAATTTTCAACAGAAAAAAAAAACTGTTTTTTTACTTTCCTTTTTGAAACAAATATTTTTTTCTCAATTGAGTATTTTAAAATCAAACCATATATCAACCCCCTCCCAACTTGAAAAAAATAAGAAAAAAGAAAATAAGAAAGGGATTTGTGTAAACAAGGTATTTAATCAGAAAGTTTTCTTATATACAGTATATAAATGTTATTTTCATTTTGGTGCAAACAATGAAAAAATACAAGTAATATCGTGTATACCGATGTTTTCCACACAAAAAAATAGAACACGAAAACTGTCACGATGAAGAAAATCGTTCAAGGTCACATCGGACACACCCCCATGTTTCTCTGTGGAATGTTGGGTTACATTCTGAGATAACGATGATCAGGAAAAATAAACAGGAAACCAGTAAGTGCCAAAGTTTTGATCTGTATTGTGTTCATTTCATGATCAATTGTTCGGTGCGTTTCGTTGGAAAAATAAGCAATAACCACACTATATCCAATATTAAGGAAGGATATTAACTCAGTAAAGGAATTTTGTAGAGATAAACAGAATCATCTGATTGAACCGCACAATAAAAATATCACGTGTCAACGAGTAAATCAACACGTTAGTATAAATGTAAAATTCGGTCATTTACCTAAAAACAGAAAACACTGCTGGTAAGAAGATATCATGTTATCTTGTTTGGTGTGTTTGTTTATTGATGTTGATAAAATATAGTTAAAAACCTATAGAAATTTAACAACATGCGAATAACTAGTAATGTCATAAATTAATATTGAACTTTCAAGTGTTTCGTTTCAGTAATTATCCAAAATGAAAATATATATTGTCAGACTGGGAATTTTCAGACGAAAATGTAAATAAAGGGGGATAACAGCCTTTACAGTCAAAATACTTACATATTCTGTATTCCATGATATTTCTTAACACTCAATAAACACAAATTTACATACACAACAGTACTAGTGCTCTGAGGACTCTTGGGGTGATGACCTACATTTCCTTTTCACACATCATTGCACATGTAAACAGAACTTGATAAAAACAAAATCTGACATTTAAATTATTTAAATCTTTGCACAGTACTTAAAAAATATTTATAAGTATTCAACAATTTCAGTTCAATTTCCAGTCTGCAAAATAATCTAAATTTTCTATTTCGTTCAGTACTCTGTAATGTTGGTTCCATCACCTTTAGAAAAATCTTACATTTTATTTTAGGAGTATTATTTTAAAACTGAGGCGAGAAGAGGGGAATAACTCTACATATAACATTTGTTGATCTATGCAACTTGTGTATTACCTCAGGCTGAGATTATTGAAGCTTAAAAAAAAGCCTTTGTCAGTGGCGGATCCAAAAGGGGGGGGGGGTCCGGAAGTTGGAACCCCCCTTTTTTTTTGGATGAATAATGCATTTGAATGGGGACATATAGTTCAAACGGATTCTTGTGCTTTAGACTGATTTCATAAGTGATTTTCCTTTGAAATACCGGCAAATTCATAATTTTTCCTGGACAGGAAGTACAACTAGCTGTGTTAACTGTCAAATTAAGTGACCCATTAATTGCATGGCTTCACTTGACAGCTTTGTTATCAAACACACTGTTAATTAACACCAATTACCTTAGCTTAAGGTCACAAATAATTTGTCTATTTCAAAGTTGTTTGACAATAAATTTGAGTTACTTCCCTTTTTTTGTCACCTTTCACAATATACTCCTTAATTTTATGGGTTTTTTTTGTAAAAAGATTAAAACTAATTCAAATTGAATGCAAATACGTATCAGAATATTACTTTCTTTTATTTTTCTACCTTCATGACCTTAGAACAATTAAAAAATTATTTTGAAAATTAAATTTTTTATCTAGATACTTCCTTTAAATGCTTAATTTTTTTTTACTATATTCCAATATCAACAAACCTTGAGACTGCATTATACCGACCGTGCAAGACCCTCATGGGTAGTAAAAAAACCACACTCATCACAATGTGACTGTACATTATGACCATACTGGAAATCAAGTAGCCTGAGAATTCATATAAAACAATGAATGAAACAAGAAGAGGGGGTATGGCTTGGTTTGAAGTGACAAAGTATAACACATCAACATTTCAATGGCTTATTATGCAATGAAAAAATAAAATTAAAGTTTTAAATTATTTTCAGTTAGTACTTCACCATGTGAACATATTTTGGAAACTGTTCGATTTGAAATATAAAGAAATGTCTCCTAAATACTTAAATTCAGCTGAAAAAAAGTTTGTTTTGACCTGAGATTTTCTTCTTCAATGCAGGTCATGACAAGCATTTTTATTTTCATAGGTTGACAGGTATGATGTCACACAGATTAGGGGTTTGTTATGCCTTAAATTTTAACCACGACTAATATCAATGATGTGATGTCATTCAGATTAGGGGTTTGATACAGCCTTTGCAACCATGACTATTCTAATATCAATGATGTGATGTCATTCAGATTAGGGGTTTGATGCAGCCTTTGCAACCATGGCTAATATCCATGATATCATATCCATGACATGATATCATTCAGATTAGGGGTTTAATACAGCCATTGCAACCATGGCTAATATCCATGATATCATATCCATGACATGATGTCATTCAGATTAGGGTTTGATAAAGTCATTACAACCATGGCTCATATCTATGACATGGGATATATGTCAATCAGATTACGGGTGTGATAAAGTCTTGGCCCGAGAACAGTGTTATTTGGTAGTGCATTTCTTTTAGACAATAAATTCAAATTAAAAAAATCGGACCTGCTCTAGCTTAAAAAGATTTTTACAGTGTAGTGTACTACTTTTGGGACAAATAATATCAGAATTATAGAAAAGTCTACCAGCTCTAACTCAAAATATGGACAATTCTTTGTTAAGGGGTCTATAATTCAGTTTGACAGCTGCATACATGTACATACTAATTTTTTACCTTTTTTAACTGGACCAAATCACTACTTTACATATAACATAAAAATTCATCACTCAACTTTTTTTAACATGTAATTTCATCCCCTACTTAATATTTCATGCATAAACATGATAAAATATAAAGAAACAAATTTGGAGAGTGTATGAACAAAATTTGCAAGTTATACACTGTCCACACCAGGGACTATATTTGTAGACAATGAAAATCAAAGGACGATAACTGTGTCCTCAGACCTAATATTTGCAACCATGGCTATTATCCACGACATGATTTCATATTAAAAATTAGAAGTGTCACAAAGCCTTTGTAACCATGACTAATATCGATGACAGGATGTCATTCAGACTAGGGGTTTGATAAAGCCTTTGCAACATATTAATATATTTTATATATATCATGACTATAGCTTATAGAGCAGGATTCCCATTGATTTTGTTACACAAACAACTACTAAATATATACTAATTATAAATATATATGTACATATATATCTCCTGAAACAGGATACTTTTTGTTTCTTTTGTTTATTTTGAGAGTAGTATTATAGATACAGTTAATTATATATTATACAATGGCAACAGTCTAATAATCATAGTCATGATAGTGACAGATTACAGTTAGTATTCACAACTTGTATGTATACATTGTATATTTTTACCATTAAAAGCTTTTAACTATTTGCTGCTTTTGTAAATTATATACATGTAAGATGCATTTTAATCATGATATTAAATATTTACAGCTACATATATGTAAGAAGTACTTTGTTTACATATATTCGAACATTGAATGATTTCAGATCATTGGATAAGACAGTAGAACCAAGTAAATGAGAACCACCTCTTCAAGACCTTCTGGGTTCCAGTGTACAGATTCTGATGATATCAGTAAGTCAAACTAACTTAGATATCTGTAAGTCTACCTACTATTGTCAAACTAGTTAAGATATCAGTAAGTCTACCTGCTATTATCAAACTAACTTAGATATCTGTAAGTCTACTTACTATTGTCAAACTAACTTAGATATCAGCAAGTCTACAGGTACTATAGTCAAACTTAGATATCAGTAAGTCTACCTGCTATTGTCAAACTAACTTAGATATCTGTAAGTCTACTTACCATTGTCAAACTAACTTAGATATCAGCAAGTCTACAGGTACTATAGTAAAACAAAACTTAGATATCAGTAGGGCTACCTACTATTGTCAAACTAATTAAGATATCAGTAAGTCTACCTGCTATTGTCAAACTGACTTAGATATCTGTAAGTCTACTTACTATTGTCAAACTAACTTAGATATCAGCAAGTCTACAGGTACTATAGTAAAACAAAACTTAGATATCAGTTGGTCTACATACATTGTACTATTGTCAAACTAATTAAGATATCAGTAAGTCTACCTACTTTTGTCAATTAGATATCAGAAAGTCTACCTATCATTGTCAAACAAAACTTAGACATTCAAACACTTATATCAAATTTACTATACATAGTGTCTATTTCTCCAGACATTCTAACACTACCATCAAATTTACTATACCTACATGAAGTGTCTATTTCTACAGACATTCTAACACTACCATGACATTTACTATACCTAGTGTCTATTTCTCCAGACATTCTAACACTACTATCAAGTTTACTATACCTAGTGTCTATTTCTACAGACATGACAGACATTCTAACACTACCATCAAATTTACTATACCTACATGTAGTGTCTATTTCTACAGACATTCTAACACTACCATGACATTTACTATACCTAGTGTCTATTTCTCCAGACATTCTAACACTACCATCAAATTTACAATACCTAGTGTCTATTTCTACAGACACTCTAACACTACCATCATATTTACTATACCTAGTGTCTATTTCTACAGACATTCTAACACTACCATCAAATTTACTATACCTAATGTCTATTTCTACAGACATTCTAACACTACCATCAAATTTCTTTGTAACATGTTTGAAAAAAAAAAATTCTAAAATTTTATTGTTATGGGATGGACAACTGTATGTTTACCAACATGAAAACAGTAAGGATTGTTCATTGATAAAAATAATATCTACTTCATTGATAAATCTGGTATTATCTTAGTACATGTACTTATAAAAGTCAAATGATGTCATGTGGGTACTGTCTGATTGGAGTCAAGGTCATATGTGTTTTATCTGAATAAAGTTGTTATAGTTTATAAAAAGCTATATGTATAGAGTCATATTACTTGTTGAGAAATTGAAGAATTTTAAAAATGACTAGGACAAGTTTTCTTAACGGGGATACAGGAGGTAAATACTTTATTGAGTTTGCTACATGTGTGTGTGTGTGTGTTTACTTTGTTTTGTTGATTTGAATCTTGTACTTGTACATGTACATGTGATATATATATATAACTACATTCTGTCTAACATTGCATCAGAAAGTTAACCCCTATGAATTGTAGTAAACAGTCACCATACATATATATATATATATATATATATATACATGTATATTAAATTAATGTTAGAATTATTCTTAAATTTATACAACAGTAACACATGCTACAATATAGAGATAGGATAAGATTTTGGTGTGTACGTGGCGGGGGGGGGATTAGGTTTTTGGTGTGTATGTGGGGATGAGGGTGCAAGTTTTTGTTGTGTATGTGGAGAGGAGGGATTAAATTTTTGGGATGTATGTGTGGAGGAAGGTTTAAGTGTTTGGTGTGTATGAGGGGAGATGGGAATAAGATTTTGGAGTGGGTATTGGAAGGAGGGTTTAAGTTTTTGGGGATGTATGTGTAGTAAAGGGATTAAGATTTTAGGGTGTACGTGGGGTGGAGGGTTTAAGTTTTTGGTACATATGCATGTGTGGAGGAGGGATTAAGATTTTGGAGTGGGTATTGCAAGGAGGGTTTAAGTTTTTGGGGATGTATGTGAAGTAAGGGGCTGAAGATTTTGGGGTGTATGTGAAGTAAAGGGTTTTAGATTTTGGGGTGTATGTGGGGTGGAGGGTTTAAGTTTTTGGTTTTTGGTGTGTATGTGGGTTGGAAGGTTAAAGGTATTGGAAGAAGGGTTTAAGTTTTCAGGGATGTATGTGTGGAGGAGGGTTTAAGTGTATGGTTTGCATGTGGGGAGGAGGGATTAAAATTTGGGTGTACGTGAAGTGGAGGGTTTAAGGTTTTGGAGTAGGTATTGGGGGGAGGGTTTAAGTTTTTGGTGTGCATGTGGGGAGGAGAGATTAAAATTTGGGTGTAAATGTGAGGTGGAGGGTTTGGAGTGGTTATTGGGAGGAGGGTTAAAGTTTTTGGTTAATATGTGCCAATGTTATACACATGTTTGATACACAGACATTTACCAAGCAATGGATACATGTTTTATTTGACTTACCAGACTGTTTACACCACACTCAAATGGAAAACAATTGAGGTCAAAGTTATATTGATTTAATGACTGACCACCTTATTTGTTGACACATTTGATTATCCTTGTCCTAGGTTTATCAGTTGTGTGATCAGTATGACCATATATTATTACACATGTATAACAAAGTCAATCAATTAAACAAATATTAATAATCAAGTGTGAACTACAAAATTTCACAACCATCACATTTTTAAAATCCTTCATATCCTTATAAAACTGCCTTTTTGTACATTTGATTCACATGTACATGATGTATTTCTTTTAATTTTGGCCTTTTTAACCTTATTTGATTCGAGCGTCACTAATGAGTCTTTTGTAGATGAAACGCGCGTCTGGCGTAAATACAAAATTTCAATCCTGGTATCTATGATGAGTTTATTTAAAGGTTATTGGACGGGTCATTATTTTTAGCTCACCTGGCCCAAAGGGCCAAGTGAGCTTTTCTCATCACTTGGCGTCCGTCGTCCGTAAACTTTTACAAAAATCTTCTCCTCTGAAACTACTGGGCCAAATTTGACCAAACTTGTCCACAATCATCAATAGGGTATCTAGTTTAAAAAATGTGTCTGGTGACCCGGCCAACTAACCAAGATGGCCGCCATGGCTAAAAATAGAACATAGGGGTAAAATGTAGATTTTGGCTTATATCTCTGAAACCAAAGCATTTAGAGCAAATCTGACATGGGGTAAAATTGTTTATCAGGTCAAGATCTATCTGCCCTGAAATTTTCAGATGAATCTGAAAACCTGTTGTTGGGTTGCTGCCCCTGAATTGGTAATTTTAAGGGAATTTTGCAGTTTTTGGTTATTGTCTTGAATATTATTATAGAAAGAGATAAACTGTAAACAGCAATAATGTTCAGCAAAGTAAGATCTACAAATAAGTCAACATGACCAAAATGGTCAGTTGACCCCTTAAGGAGTTATTGCCCTTTATAGTCAATTTTTAACCATTTTTCGTAAATTTTTGTAACCTTTTGCAAAAATCTTCTCCTCTGAAACTTCTAAGACAAATTTAACCAAACTTGTCCACAATCATCATTAGGATATCTAGTTTAAAAAATGTGTCCGATGACCCGCCCGCGAACCAAGATGGCCGACATGGCTAAAAAATAGTTCATAGGGTAAAATGCAGTTTTTGGCTCATATCTCTGAAACCAAAGCATTTAGAGCAAATCTGACAAGAATAAAATTGTTCATAGGTCAAGATCTATCTGCCCTGAAATTTTCAGACCAATCAGGCAACACGTTGTTGGGTTGATGCCCCTGAATTGGTAATTTTAGGAAAATTTTGCAGCTTTTGGTTATTATCTTGAATATTATTATAGATAGAGATAAACTGTAAACAGCAATAATGTACAGTAAAGTAAGATCTACAAATAAGTCAACATGACCAAAATTGTCAATTGACCCCTTAAGGAGTTATTGCCCTTTATAGTCAATTTTTTATAATTTTCATAAATTTTTGTAAATTTTTACAAAATATTTTCCACTGTAACTACTGGGCCAAGATCATTATAGATAGAGATAATTGTAAGCAGCAAGAATGTTCAGTAAAGTAAGATCTACAAACATATCACCATCACCAAAACACAATTTTGTCATGAATCCATCTGTGTCCTTTGTTTAATATGCACATAGACCAAGGTGAGCGACACAGGCTCTTTAGAGCCTCTAGTTTTAGTTATGTATGCATTCATCTGACCATCCTGAATCAGATTAAAATTTTGTGTTAAGGTTGTGATCACATCAACTTCAAACTTAGAACACATAATCGTTATCATGATTATGATTTAACCTCTTTTAAAGAACAGATGCCAAGATTATGTGGTTCACTGACATGTTAATGTGATTGTGTTAATGGGGCATGTATTACATCACTAATATAAATAGAATATAATACATGTGATACTTTAGGTAAGGAAGGTGACATTGTATCTTTTTATAGGTTTGTCTAAACTTGTTTTCAAAGGTTCATTCACATTAGTATACAGGTGTACATTAAACTTTATATCTCCATAAGAAATTTGTTTAAAATATTTATTATTTATCCGAATTTTAATTAGAACAGGCTATTATTTGAACTTGGAATTATTTTTAATTATGGAATTTGCAAAATTTCTTGTGCTTGAAATTTTTAATAAATTCCATGTTTATTTGGTATTATAATGTTTGAGCGGTTCATAACACTTTCCATACAATGCATTTTGTATAGATAGTGTTGTGCGCGGCATAGTACATTCTATTGAAAATGTACTATCTTCTTTGTAATAGAAAGTGTTGTGCGCAGCACAGAAAATTAAAGTACAGAATAAACATGGAATTTATTAAAAATTTCAAGCACAAGAAATTATGCAAATTCCATAATTAATAATAAGTTTAAATAATAGCCTGTTTTAGACATTTTTTTTTAGAAAGTACAAGTAAGGTTGAATTAAAGCTGGTTTCTTCCTCTACTTAGATACCTCTACCATACTTGTCATTCTTATCTGAATTCTATACAAATAAAATGATAACAATACATAAAAAAGACAGAACCTCATTGACATTACAAGCCCAACAAGGCCATCATTATCCATATGACATCTGAATACATTTGTCATGAAATCGAAGTTCCTTCATAATATAAGTTTAAAATGGAAGAAATATTCTGTAATATTATTTCCTCTGGAACAAATATTACAGTATTTGTTACTGACGGAATAAAGATTATAGAGTATTTGTTCCAACAGGAACAGATATTATGGCATTGTTTATAACAAAGTTTCCAGTGAATCTTCTATTAGTCAGAACAAATATACATTAATATATATTAGTTTGTATACACTAAATGATTCATATAAGATAATTTTATTGCAATCAGCATGTGAGAAAATACTATAGGATAGAGAATGGAAACGGGAAATGTGTCAAAGAGACCAAAACCCGATCAAAGAATGCAAAAAAAACAGCCAAAGGCCACCATGGGTCTTCAACACAGGGAGAAAATCCCTGCACCTGGAGTCAGGCTTCATCTGACCCCTAAACAATAATGTATACTAGTTCAGCGAAAAGAACGCCAGACTAAACCTCGAAACATACAAAATTAAAAGAAGGCACAAGAGTAACAAAGGCAAGAAGTTCCTGACTTGGGACAGGTGCAAAAATGCAGAGGGTTGAACATAATTTTATGAGACCCTCCCCCTTTACATATATGTAAACAGCATCAATAACAATGTCATATAAGTGGTATTAGGGACAGTACATGAATAAATCAGAAAGCCAAAACATAATACCTATTAGACATAACAAATTAATTAATCAATTGTGACAGCTGTAGTTTCCAACTTTCATTTCAAAAACATCAAATTTTAACACCAAAGATCTTGAACTTGTTCTACTAACCATGCTAACTAAATATGTGATAAAAAAAAATTGACTTATCAGGCCTGGACCACAAATAAAGGAAAAATCTTATAGCCAAATGTCTTTGAGCTGGACAATGTGGTCTGACTGTATTAAATAAAATAACAAACAATGCAGGTGATGAGGCAGACATATTGATCATGTTTATTTCTTTAAGTTTTAGAACGTCTTAAGCAGAATACAGATGACGAGGCAGACACATTGATCATGTTTATTTCTTTAAGTTTTAGAACGTCTTAAGCAGAATACAGATGACGAGGCAGACATATTGATCATGTTTATTTCTTTAAGTTTTAGAACGTCTTAAGCAGAATACAGATGACGAGGCAGACACATTGATCATGTTTATTTCTTTAAGTTTTAGAACGTCTTAAGCAGAATACAGATGACGAGGCAGACACATTGATCATGTTTATTTCTTTAAGTTTTAGAACGTCTTAAGCAGAATACAGATGACGAGGCAGACACATTGATCATGTTTATTTCTTTAAGTTTTAGAACGTCTTAAGCAGAATACAGATGACGAGGCAGACACATTGATCATGTTTATTTCTTTAAGTTTTAGAACGTCTTAAGCAGAATACAGATGACGAGGCAGACACATTGATCATGTTTATTTCTTTAAGTTTTAGAACGTCTTCAGCAGAATACAGATGACGAGGCAGACACATTGATCATGTTTATTTCTTTAAGTTTTAGAACGTCTTAAGCAGAATACAGATGATGAGGCAGACACATTGATCATGTTTATTTCTTTAAGTTTTAGAACGTCTTAAGCAGAATACAGATGACGAGGCAGACACATTGATCATGTTTATTTCTTTAAGTTTTAGAACGTCTTAAGCAGAATACAGATGACGAGGCAGACACATTGATCATGTTTATTTCTTTAAGTTTTAGAACGTCTTAAGCAGAATACAGATGACGAGGCAGACACATTGATCATGTTTATTTCTTTAAGTTTTAGAATGTCTTAAGCAGAATACAGATGATGAGGCAGACACATTGATCATGTTTATTTCTTTAAGTTTTAGAACGTCTTAAGCAGAATACAGATGACGAGGCAGACACATTGATCATGTTTATTTCTTTAAGTTTTAGAACGTCTCAAGCAGAATACAGATGATGAGGCAGACACATTGATCATGTTTATTTCTTTAAGTTTTAGAACGTCTTAAGCAGAATACAGATGACGAGGCAGACACATTGATCATGTTTATTTCTTTAAGTTTTAGAACGTCTTCAGCAGAATACAGATGACGAGGCAGACACATTGATCATGTTGATTTCTTTAAGTTTTAGAACGTCTTAAGCAGAATACAGATGACGAGGCAGACATATTGATCATGTTTATTTCTTTAAGTTTTAGAACGTCTTAAGCAGAATACAGATGACGAGGCAGACACATTGATCATGTTGATTTCTTTAAGTTTTAGAACGTCTTAAGCAGAATACAGATGACGAGGCAGACACATTGAACATGTTTATTTCTTTAAGTTTTAGAACGTCTTAAGCAGAATACAGATGACGAGGCAGACACATTGATCATGTTTATTTCTTTAAGTTTTAGAATGTCTTAAGCAGAATACAGATGACGAGGCAGACACATTGAACATGTTTATTTCTTTAAGTTTTGAAATGTCTTAAGCAGAATACAGATGATGAGGCAGACATATTGATCATGTTTATTTCTTTAAGTTTTAGAACGTCTTAAGCAGAATACAGATGACGAGGCAGACACATTGATCATGTTTATTTCTTTAAGTTTTAGAACGTCTTAAGCAGAATACAGATGACGAGGCAGACACATTGATCATGTTTATTTCTTTAAGTTTTAGAACGTCTTAAGCAGAATACAGATGATGAGGCAGACACATTGATCATGTTTATTTCTTTAAGTTTTAGAACGTCTTAAGCAGAATACAGATGATGAGGCAGACACATTGATCATGTTTATTTCTTTAAGTTTTAGAACGTCTTAAGCAGAATACAGATGATGAGGCAGACACATTGATCATGTTTATTTCTTTAAGTTTTAGAACGTCTTAAGCAGAATACAGATGACGAGGCAGACACATTGATCATGTTTATTTCTTTAAGTTTTAGAACGTCTTAAGCAGAATACAGATGACGAGGCAGACACATTGATCATGTTTATTTCTTTAAGTTTTAGAACGTCTTAAGCAGAATACAGATGACGAGGCAGACACATTGATCATGTTTATTTCTTTAAGTTTTAGAACGTCTTAAGCAGAATACAGATGATGAGGCAGACACATTGATCATGTTTATTTCTTTAAGTTTTAGAACGTCTTCAGCAGAATACAGATGACGAGGCAGACACATTGATCATGTTGATTTCTTTAAGTTTTAGAACGTCTTAAGCAGAATACAGATGATGAGGCAGACACATTGAACATGTTTATTTCTTTAAGTTTTAGAACGTCTTCAGCAGAATACAGATGACGAGGCAGACATATTGATCATGTTTATTTCTTTAAGTTTTAGAACGTCTTAAGCAGAATACAGATGACGAGGCAGACACATTGATCATGTTTATTTCTTTAAGTTTTAGAACGTCTTCAGCAGAATACAGATGACGAGGCAGACACATTGATCATGTTGATTTCTTTAAGTTTTAGAACGTCTTAAGCAGAATACAGATGACGAGGCAGACACATTGAACATGTTTATTTCTTTAAGTTTTAGAACGTCTTCAGCAGAATACAGATGACGAGGCAGACATATTGATCATGTTTATTTCTTTAAGTTTTAGAACGTCTTAAGCAGAATACAGATGACGAGGCAGACACATTGATCATGTTTATTTTAAATTTCAGAACGTCTCAAGCAGACCGATGTTCAGTTACATCCTATTACATTACCTATAACCCACAGAACAACCAGGTCACCATCAGGTGCCAAGACTTGTGCATGGTCACCAGATAATTCTTATTTTGCTTGGCCATGTGGAGGAAAGGTTGAACTGGTACCCTGGGATAACAGAGAAAATAAGATGTGAGTGTGATTAATACATATATATATAGTTCAAAGGAAGTATGAAAAATTAGGTTATGATGACCTAGCTTTAGTAGTATACATCCTAGAGTGTTGTTCTATGATAAATAGTTGTCACTGTGGCATCAATACCGCATCTCATCATTTTAATGTTATGTGTCAGTGGGACATGATCTCAACAAAAAACACAAAAATAAAAAAAATATGACTTGCATACAGCTGATATTTTACAATACCAATAGACAAAAAAACATGAGAATAGGTTAATATATATCTTGCAAGCAAATAGATACACACAATTTGCACTTCCTTTATGTGATTATCTCTTTGGAAGAGGATTGTACACTTTTACTTTATATTTTTTTATCGAAACAGATCGAAACAGACAAGATTGTGAATAATTTCAACATTGAACTGAATTATTTGTTATTTCATTTTTGTTGAACAAAAAAAAAAGTTCATTCTAAAAAACATAAATTGATAGTGAATAATTAGCATACTGCGGATATTTTCAAATATAATACATATAAATAAAACCAAATGTGCGGTATACATCAATTAATGAAACTGCAACTCAACAACACAATCAACCAAACATGCCAAAAGACCTTTAGATGTCAAAATACAATCTTCAGCAATGCTTATGTGCCTGTACCTTACTGTGGGTTCATTTGTATTCGTTGGATGTCAATTTTCGTGGATTTCGTGGGTACAGGGGAATCACAAATTTAAAAAATCAACAAAATACAAATTTTCTTTATGAATGTATGCAGTTTTTGGCAAAACCACGAAATGAAATTGCATGTTTGCCCCAAACCACGAAAATTGGTACCCACGAAAATAAATGAATCCACAGTATATATATAGCTCTAGATTGCCTTCAGTGAATAAATCAGACCAAGGCTCTAGAGTGAATAAATCAGACTGAGGCTCTAGAGTGAATAAATCAGACTGAGGCTCTAGAGTGAATAGATCAGACTGAGGCTCTAGAGTGAATAGATCAGACTGAGGCTCTAGAGTGAATAAATCAGACCAAGGCTCTAGAGTGAATAAATCAGACCGAGGCTTTAGAGTGAATAAATCAGACCAAGGCTTTAGAGTGAATAAATCAGACCAAGGCTCTAGAGTGAATAAATCAGACCAAGGCTCTAGAGTGAATAAATCAGACAGAGGCTTTAGAGTGAATAAATCAGACCAAGGCTCTAGAGTGAATAAACCGAGGCTCTAGAGTGAATAAATCAGACAGAATATATCAAAGATCTGCCATCTACACCAAATTCTCCAAATACAGAAAAACGTGAAGTTATGACAGTAAACAACCACTTAAAAGGTTGCTGTCTTGGGACAGGCTCTACGACATGTGACAGGGCTAAACGAGGTTCTTGAGATCTTAATTCTTCCCTTGGACTCTAAAGTTTTAAAAGTATTCCTCTAATTGTTAAAACATTTAATGTGGTTTTATATAATTTTGTTTTTTTCCACAGAGTGTTAAATGAGGACATATTATTATATGAAGAAGCAGAAAATGTAACGTTACATTCAGATGGAAATTTACAGCACCAGTATGAACAGAGACCAACCAGAATTTTAGATGGCGTTGAAGTTGTTTGGTCCGTTGCCTTTGGTTCTGGTTCTACAAAGGAAGATAATGCTTTGACATGGAGACATTTGAAAGTGGACAAGGGTCTGCTACTAGCTACTGGTCATCAGAATGGTAACATAAAAGTTTGGGACTGTAATACAGGTAATTAACTTGTGTATTTTACAGGAAAACAACTTGTATATTTTATCAGTAAATCAATTTTGAATCTTAAATACAGTAGGAAAAAGCTTCTGTATTCCAATATTAATTATAACCAGAGAATTATAATGTAGCTTACAAACAAAATAAGGAGTTGTGGTATGATTGTAAATGTGACAACTATCCATCAGAATTCAAATGAAGTGGATGTAAGCAATTCTAGGCAACCATACAACCTTCAACAAAAGTCAAAGAATAAAAGCCACACTGTATAGTGTAAAGACCACAATTACACTTTTGAAGTCTTGCAGTATTTATTATTTCTCTATGTATTCTGTAAATGAGAGTGTTATCACCTTCATTAAACCTGTGTGTACTGTTTATTGCTATTGTTATCATCACTAGTAAGAGTGATTTAAAAACCCTGTATGTACATGATGTACTGTTTATTGCTATTCAGTATTGTTATCACTAGTAAGAGTGATTTAAAACCCTTTATGTACTGTGTATTGCAATTTTTATGATCACCAAGTTATTTTTCATCTTGTGTGTACTGCATATTGAAATCTTTATCATCATTTGCAAGAGTTATTTTAAACATTGTGTGTACTGTAAACTGTAATCTTTATCATTGCAGGGAAACTACTTCTCATGCTAAAAGACCATAAAGATATTGTTAAAAGTTTAAACTTTGCTCCAGATGGAAGTCTTATCCTCTTGTCAGGGTCCAGAGATGGAACTATTAAATTTTGGGACCTTAATGATGACGGAAATATGTATAAATCACTCAGAGGCAATACTAAATGGGTGTATGATACTAAATGGTCACCCAAATGTGATATGATTGCTAGTGTTGGCAGCGGAAAAACTGTAAGTTACACGTCAGTCAAGTTTCAGGGGAGATATATATTAGCGCAATAATGAACGCTCAACATAATGTTTTACTCATTTGGTTTATGATGACGTCCTTATAACAGAATCTGATCTCATGATTTCAAATCGGAAATTTTGTAAATGCACAGAGTTACCCATCAAATCAGATACAAAAATATCATTTGTCGTTTTGAAACAGACAAAAAAAAAAATTCACAATTTTTGTTATTTCCCTCTGCATTTAGAATTTACCTGGATACTACTTTATACTTTTGTGAATGTAAGAAAGTGATTTTCCTGTAAAATACAAGGCAACAATTGGGGAAACACACTTTCAGGAAGTATTTTCAAGTTTTCTCTAAAGTAAGCATGGTATCACATTCAATTGTAATGCCTTAAAATAGAAAAGTTCTAAAAATGTGTTATAATATGAAATATATAGTAAAAAAATTTCATGCACTGAACCAAAAAATAAATGATAAATACAATATTTGATTATGTTTGTATAAATGCTATATTTGCTTGTGTTTTTTAATTTATCTAGTATTCAGTCATAACATGTTTTAAAAAGCAGTCAATTCATTTTCCCATATTTTTATATTTTTCAGGTGATACTATGGGATTTGTTGAATAATTATACTCCATCTCATCTACATGGACATTACCATGATGTTATTGGATGTTGTTTCTCACCAGATGGCGCCTTATTAGCTACTGCATCTTTTGATACCAGGGTTATATTATGGGATGTATATACTGGACAGTCACTTCAAGAACTTTGGTAGGTGTTCTCTGGGAACAGTATATCTAACGGGAAATGAATCTGATAGGCTTTTCAGTATAAAATTGATAAAATCTCGGACTCCACGAGACTTCGCGAGATTTATGGATTTTGGTGGCGTCTGACTGAAAAACTATCGGAACTGCTCAATAAATTAACCACATAATTCTAATCGTAAAAAAATACAAGTTTTATCATAAAGTAGATATATTTTATCATATAAAATGACCAAAATAAATGTGATTTATTTGATGTGAAGTGTTTTATAATGTTTTTGAATTTGGGAAGGCAATCGGCGCCATTTTTTTATTACCCTGTTTGCATTCTGTACCATTCTGTGATAAAATGAATGCGATTATAACAAATTTGAGGTGACAGAATACGAGTTTGATACACTGGCATCACTGTAAAACTAGTTTGAATAACATTTTTTTGAAAATGTCAGAAATTATTAGGATAATAGCTAGTACGTTTTTAACACATGTCCGTTTCCGTATCGTTTCTTTATTACCTATAACCCGACGATAAAATCGGCTACAATTAGGTAGTGTCAAGTCCCGTCAATATATATGTTCCTGGTGTTCTTTATAATTTTTTGTTTTTAAATTGAATGAGTTATTTTAAAATTTCCAAATTTGATATATTTGTTATGGCAGGATATAAGAGCCATTATCTGGCCAATAGTAACATCTTTGTAAAACACATCCTCTAGCAAAAAATATTTTTGAGTAACCTTAAATTATTGACTTATATCAAGATTTTAATGACAAGATCTCAAAATAAGGCTCTTTTGGCTCTTTTTGCACGCTACTTATCAAGACTAATTGATTTCTATGGAAAAGAAATGAAACTGGTGACCCCATAATATTTGCATATCATTACAAACGAAATGTTATCAGCTTTGATATATGTTTCCCAGCTTTTTACATACATTCTATACATTCATGACATTTAAAGACCTATTTTACAAATTTTAAATTGGCTGTATCTCTGGAAGTATAAATGTTACATCTACCTTTTCATACAAAAGTTCGGCAAAATCTGAAATATTGCCAAATTATATAGTTTGCCTTTAAAAGCAAATGAATTATACCCTATGAAATTTAGATACATTTAACATTAAACCAAGAATGTTTGGCAGAAGTGTATTTGCAATGTATTAAAGAAAATATTTATAAATATAAGGGAAGCAAGACAAAAGAATTTGATACATTTCCCTTGGAAAAAAAATATGGAGGATAGACAAAAAACTATTAGAGCTGTACCAGAATTTAATGCATGGGGGCATTGGATGCACTTTGAGACCCGACCACTCATGAAATTAAAATTTCGTTTTACTTATAATTTTCCAAATTCTAAGGAAAATACAACCACCCATATTTAATTAATTTGACTGCCTCCTATCCCCCCACCAGATATATTTGGAACAGCCCTAACTAAAAGACTAAGTTGAAAATGTGAGGAGATGAAATTGTTTAAACAAATATCATGGTACTAGCTATTTACAATGATTCCCTGTAGATTTTTTATAAAATATTTATGTTTGACTATTTCTGATTACAGCCACATGTATCCTCCTCCACGACCAATATTTGCAGCTGGAGCGAATGAATTTTACATTCGAGGAATCTCATTTCATCCACATGGCCAGATGGTTCTTACCATTAACGATGATGGGTAAGACACTTGTATATTGTATAATTTGAACAAAAGGGGACATCAATATACGTCAATAGGAAAAATCCATTGATAAAAAAAATACTATAAACTAAAGATGGCTTTTTGTTTTTAATATAGATCTGAAAATTTCTTGCAGAGATCAAAGAATTGACTGTCAAGCACACACAATATATAAATCTTAATTTGTCTCAATGAAAAATGCTAATGAATATAAAAATAAGGAGATGTGGTAGGATTGCCAATGAGACAATTATCCACCAGAGTTCATTGTGATATAAAAATAATGAGATTTGGTATGATTGCCAATGAGACAACTATCCACCAGAGTTCATTGTGATATAAAAATAATGAGATTTGGTATGATTGCCAATGAGACAACTATCCATCAGAGTTCATTGTGATATAACAATAAGGAGATGTGATAGGATTGCCAATGAGACAACTATCCATCAGAGTTCATTGTGATATAACAATAAGGAGATGTAATAGGATTGCCAATGAGGCAACTATCCATCAGAGTTCATTGTGATATAACAATAAGGAGATGTGATAGGATTGCCAATGAGACAACTATCCATCAGAGTTCATTGTGATATAACAATAAGGAGATGTAATAGGATTGCCAATGAGATAACTATCCATCAGAGTTCATTGTGATATAACAATAAGGAGATGTAATAGGATTGCCAATGAGGCAACTATCCATCAGAGTTCATTGTGATATAACAATAAGGAGATGTGATAGGATTGCCAATGAGACAACTATCCATCAGAGTTCATTGTGATATAACAATAAGGAGATGTAATAGGATTGCCAATGAGATAACTATCCATCAGAGTTCATTGTGATATAACAATAAGGAGATGTAATAGGATTGCCAATGAGACAACTATCCATCAGAGTTCATTGTGATATAACAATAAGGAGATGTAATAGGATTGCCAATGAGATAACTATCCATCAGAGTTCATTGTGATATAACAATAAGGAGATGTAATAGGATTGCCAATGAGGCAACTATCCATCAGAGTTCATTGTGATATAACAATAAGGAGATGTAATAGGATTGCCAATGAGGCAACTATCCATCAGAGTTCATTGTGATATAACAATAAGGAGATGTGATAGGATTGCCAATGAGACAACTATCCATCAGAGTTCATTGTGATATAACAATAAGGAGATGTAATAGGATTGCCAATGAGACAACTATCCATCAGAGTTCATTGTGATATAACAATAAGGAGATGTAATAGGATTGCCAATGAGACAACTATCCACCAAAATTTAATGTGGATGTAAGCAATTATAGGACTACTATTTGTTGGTAGAAGCCAACTCTGAATTTTAAATTCTTAACGAAATATAATGTCTCATTTGCTTGGAAAGAATATCAATTATTTTAAACCAGAAGAATAGACCAAAATGTTTTAGGGACGTGTGTTGTTGGGACATAAAAGAATTTATAACAATTATCTGTGTAAATGTTTTAGGTACGTGCGATGTTGGGACTTAGAAGAAGATGACAACGACCCATCATACGTTGTTGAGCAAGCGAATGCTCTGTACTGTACGTTCTCACCAAAAGGTCAAAGAATCTCAGTCGGGTAGGTTTACATTAAAGTTTTCATATTTACGGGTTTTGGAAATATACATTTGTATTTTATTCAGAAATTGTTTTATTTTTTTTTTTAATAAAAAATGTATAGTTAACAGTTGAGTGATGAATATGAAGATGATTTTTTCTCTGTAGAATTCAGTTTACCTATAGAAATGTCATTAAATTTGCTTCACAGAAATGATCAAATTGCCATGGAAACTACAGAAATTTTACCTGGAAAGCCATTTTTGGTTTGATAATGTTTGGTAATTCAACAATATTTGGTATGCAATTGCCAATAATACATATTAATTCGTTTTCCATAGAGATTGTTATCACTTTCTAGTTGGTGTACATTATTTTTGTTGCACAAAACGATTGATTGTTGTTTGCTTAATCTCCAGAGTGAAATATTTCATGCATATTCAGGACATATGTGCAAAATGAACCAAAGTTATACACATACACATACATTTTGTATTCAGCATCAACTATCACATACATATTAAATGAAATCCAAATCCCCCATTATTTGTGCTTATTTCTAGCTTTGTAATATTATTAAAAAAAAATCTGTTTTGGATATTTTGTTGTCGTAAAACTGAATTCTACAAAGAAGATAAAAATATGCATATGATTATCTTATTTTGAATTGAATTATTGACTTTTGTAATTCTATTTAGATTATCAAAAAACCTATGACAGCTATGATTGCCATCACTTATACATCCATCATCAGTATTATATAATTTTGTCTTTCATTCATTGCTGCATCAATGTGTATCATTAAATAGGGAGGGATGTGGTATGTTGGTTTCATTCAATCTAAATTAGGTGATAGATAAAAGACCCTTCTTTATATTTCAATAAGCTTAAGATACTGTGGATTCATTTATTTTCGTGGATAGAGAAAAAAAAAAACTTTGTGGTATACGTAAATTCGTGGATCACTATTTCCAAAAAAAATGTTTCAGATACATAAATTCGTGGATCTGTGTTTGAATAATGATAAAACAAAAGATAGAAATTCATTCATCGCACGATCATTGTAGGTTTAAGTGTTGATTTAAAACTTTGATTACAAGCATGGACAAAGGCAACTAATTATTTGCTTGTTTTACAATTATAATTTCTTGTCAAACTTTTATAAGGTATTCAAAGCCCTTTGATGTACAACTGATTGAAAGCTATTTACCATAATCACGACATAATAAGCAGTCATTAGAAATGGTCAAAATTTAGAAACACGCTTATAATTGATCTAACATTTTGTTGGATAAGTTTTTTTTCGAAAAAAAATATAATTTTTGTCCAGAATAAATAAAAATACTTGTTTAAATGACAATTTGTCGGAATATTGTTTGTGTCCTACATTTTCCCTTTCAAATTTCATTACGAAAATATGTTGTTTTGTCAAGAATTAAGTAAACAAAAATGCTTAAGCAGCAGTTAACGGAAATTTTATTTGAAAAATCTTAATCTATCTTATAAAAAGCTTGTCAATTATTTTTGTTAAAGTCAAAATGTGTGAAATTTAATGTTCCTGTCATAAACAGTATTACCTGCAATGACCCGTATTTAATCCTATTGATTTTTAATAACAAATCAACCAAATTATGACATGGTAATTTACAACTTGCAGTTACTTCCATGAACGATTTTAATCCATTTTACAATTAAATTCTCACTGATATTCTAAGGATTTTATTATTTATTTTAACCAAAATACTTTTATATTTTATTTCAAAAACATGTTTTATGTTACCATGTTTATTGCAAGTCATCACTATACTAAAATTGCAAGACATAACCGGAAATAAACATCCGATTCAATCCACATTTCTCGTGATAATTCCTCGTTGAAGTTTTAAATTCGTGGTTTGCTGTGACCCACAAAACCCACGAATAAAAATGAATCCACATGTACCGTATTGTGTAATTTTGTTGAAATTTTAATGATAAATTGCCTCTTAAATTAAAGTTATTCTACTTCCTTTAGACCTGAAGGTCAAAGGTCATGTGTTATACTAATTGTTTGTTCTGCAGAAAGACCCAGTAGAATGTGGGAGAGTGAGGAAAGCTGGAAGAAAGTAAACCTTTCTTTTCCAGCATCATCACAAAGGTTCAGGTTGGTGTAAACAACTGATTTATCTATGCCATCATTTGATATCCATTGTAAATAGTATTATTGTATTTATAAAGGGAGTTAACTCCAACCATACAGCTAGACTGTCATTTTACTCTGCAATTTACCACTGTAAGTTTGAAATGTAAAATTATGAAATATTTATTGAGCATTCAAGTAAAATATCCTGGATCTTTCTTCTATTATGAATGGATTGTGATATTCAAATTATTTTTAACATGGCAAATTCATTTCCATGTCATGTATGTCGTCCAATTATAAGAAATGTCAATTTCTTTATTTCTTTAACAAGAAACATAGAGATATTGAATAGAAATTTAAAGAACATTGAATGGAAATTAAAAGAACATTGAATGGAAATTAAAAGAACATCTGAATGGAAATTAAAAGAACATTGAATGGAAATTAAAAAAACATTGAATGGAAATTAAAAGAACATTGAATTTAAATTGAAAGAACTGAGCATAGACTATGTTGAAATATAAAGATGTCTTTTGCAATTGGGATATTCAGTTGCGGTCTCATTGAAAAGAATATCCTTAATCACCTTTTACCAAATATTCTCTTACCTTTGTTGGAAGTTGTAGAATGCAAGACATAGGGATGCTTATCCTGCAGCAACAGCTACAGGGTTTACTATTTGTATAAAGTTCATAATTCAGAAGCTAAAAGACCTGGATGCTAAAATGAGTAAACAAAGATTTGTATGCAATAAAAAATCATTAGTCCACTTAAGACAGACAACATGTGCCTGTCACAAGTCAGGAGCCTGTACTTCAGTGGATGTCAATTGTTGCTGTATATTTCATATTTATTATTGGTTTATTGTCTCCCATGTGACACTTTGTCGGGGACATAGATATACCGGGCTTCTGTCCGTTCATGTGTCTGTCTGTCCCAATGCTCTCACATGTACAATTCTTGCCAGATTTTTATAAAACTTATATCATAGGTTTATATCAGAAATGTCTCATAAAATTTCGAAAATCAGTGCCAATCAACTATTTTTAAGAGAGTTATGCCCCATGGAAATATTAATTATGGAAAATGTCATTATTAGCTCTCTCATGTGTACAATTCTTGCCAAATTTATATGAAACTTATATAAAAGGTTTATATCAGGAATGTCTTGGACAAGTTCGAAAATCAGTGACCCGTCCGTCTGTCTGTCCATCTGTCTGTCTGCCCGCTGTCCATCCGTCTAAATATACTACTGCAACAGTTTAATTTGTCATCGCAACTCCTCTGAATCCACACAACAGAATTTCATGAAACTTTGTAGATAATAAGGACATAATATGTTAATTTGCATATCCACATTAAATTTTTATCAGTTGACTTTTGTTGGAGTTATGAGTCTTTGAACTTTGATATTTTGTTTGCCCATTGACAATGTGGGAGCGTGGGGTATGTGAGTGTGCTCACAGAGGTTCTTTAATTTTTAAAAGAATTATGCACATTGGAAATATTAATCATATGGAAAATTGCATTGTAAGCATTTTCACATGAACAAATTTTTGCCCAATTTTTATTAAATTTATATCATTTATGACAAAATGAAAAATATATTATCTCTTAATCATAAAAAGGACTGTGCAAAAGTTTTATAAAATTCTATAAAGGTTTAACAAAGTTAATGATGTTTATAAAACTTTAGCCAGAGACTGTTTCTTAAATTAATGTTATCTGCAAAATAAAACTAAGTCATTTTATCAGTTAGCATGGTTAAATACAGAAAAGTTAAAAAAAATGTATATTCAAAATTTTGCTGTGAATACTGTCTTTTGATCATTATAATTAAAGCTTCTGTTCAAGATTAATAAAATTCCATGACGGTTTGACAAAGTTATCAATGTCTGAAAAACTTAAACCTTAGACTATATCTCAATGTTAACTGCAAAAGACTAAGTCCTATTATCAGTAAAATATGGAAAAATGAAAACAAATATTTTCAAATTTTTGCCATGGATACTGTCTTTTGGTCATAAAGTAGCTTCTGTCCAACTTTCATACAATTCCATGAGAAGAGAGAAAAAATAGGAGCAAAAAATATGAAAGGGACATTCAAACTCATAAGTCGAAAATAAACTGACAATGCCATGGCGAAAAAAGAAAAAGACAAAAAGACAAACAACAGTATAGAAAACACAACATAGAAAACTAAAGACTGAGCAACATGAACATTTGACAAGGGAGTAGGGGCATTAAGGCCTGGTTTTGGCTTAGGAAATTAAATGTTTGACAACTATTCCAAATTGGCACATAATGTTTGGAAATGCATAGAGTCAAGAAATATAAACGAAAAACATGAGATTGTTTATCTGATGACGTCACAATTACGTCATTATGTACCATTTAAAAAAAAATGATGAAAAATACAGAATTTATGCAGTTTTCCATTGTTATTTCAATTATGGAAACACCGTGTGCAGCCAAGAAACAACAAAATAATTTAAGAGAAGCTTTACTATAACTATTGACATAATCTCACCAAATATAAAGTTGTTTCTTGGATGCGCACATACTTGGCCAATCTAAAATATACTTAGAATTTGACGAAAAACAAGGAAAATCAAGAAATTTTACAAAATATACAAATTTAGTCATGGTTTGTTGACATAGTAACTCGTTAAATGTGAAATTGTTTTCTATTTTTTTTAATACCTTGTACCTGAGTCTAGTTAGGACGGTTTCAAGAATATGTATGATAACTTTTAAATTTGCAGTAATGTTTGGGCCAAATAAGGGCCTCATTGCCCATACTCCTTTATGGATGTCTGATGAACTTAATCCCAGATTTTACTTTAATGTTAACTGCAAAAATACAAAGTTGATTTATCAGTAATTTTCTGTCGAAGTTTTATAAAATTCCATGAAGTTTCGACAAAGAAAACAATGTCTGAAAATCTTAGACTGTATCTTAATGTTAGCTATGAAAAAAAAATATGTCTATTAATTATTTATCAGTTAAATTTGAAACAATGAAGATTTCTTTTTACAAAATTTAACTTGGGATACTGTCTTTAGAACATTAAAAGCTTCTGTCCAAGTTTCATGAAACTCCATGAGGTTTTGACAAAGTTATTGATGTCTGAAAAAAAATTTAATCATAGACTGACCCTAAATGTTGACGCTGTTGCTGGGTAAATATTATATTAAATCTTATTCATTTTCATATTCTTATTTAAACAATTACAGTCTTTTGTATTGATTAAATAGAGTTTTTGGTGGACAAAAGAATCAATATTGTCCTCTAACTATGACCTGGGTTGATATATTGTTACTTCACCTGGCAGAAAGGTTCTTTGAGCTATTGTAATCACCTTGTGTCAGTCTGTCAATCATCAATTGTCAGTATGTCTTCAGTTAAAAATGTGACAAGAATAATATATGGAAGGTCCTTGATGAAAAAAATAATTTTATCCTATATAAACATGACTGCCAGAACAATCATTTATTCTGATTGGCTAATTCATTTCCTTGGAAACTATAAGGTACAGGTAAACTTTTTTGAAACTTTCAGGGATTAATGATTGAAAAACCTTTTATACACAAACCTCTTTAAAGATGACAATTCTCTGAAACTACTAATTGAAATATTGGGAAACTTTAGAGGAATTATAATTTGAAGGCCCTCTTCAAATTATTTTCCTTTAATGATGATCAGGTGGCACACAACCTAAAACTGTCTTGCATATACTTATCAGGAATGATGTTTGATGGTTCTCTACAAATGTTTGTTATTTCGTTCTGATGATATGAAAATTGGTGGGTAGAATTCACTGTTGATTCTGATTGGCTAATTTAAAAAAAAAATCTTTTCCTCAGATTCTGAAATGTTGTAAAAAGTAATGGGATTAAAAAAAAAAGAAGCCATTTAAAGCTTAATTTTTCAAAAGTTATTGCTAAAATTTCTAAATCTTTAAGGAATATTAGTCAATGTTCCAGGTAAGCCATACCGGCACCCTTAGGCCTCTATTTTTATTTGTATTCCTTTAAAACTTATATTGGCAACTACAAAAGACTGTGGGTTGTTTAAAAAGATAAAAATCTAGCAGCATACATTTATACCTACATAATATTGAAAGAATTTTTTTTTATGAGAATTGTCTCTCAACCATATTTCTTTTTCTTCACAGGGATAAAGATGGAACGATCAGATTTTATCAGACTCCACCAAAAGTATCTCGTCTTCAACATCTCTGTCGAATGGTCGTAAGGAATCATGTCAAATCAACAAAAATTGACTTCCTACGCCTACCATGTAGAATAAAAGAATATTTGAAGTATCACAATTTCACGAAGACTGGATAATGCAGTAGTTGAAAGTGAAATGGACTATTTATAGTGTTAGTTTTCCACTTCCTATTCAGAAAAAAAGAATCTCTGATTTACTCTGGAGGGCAGCTAGATGATTGGGAAACTATTATGATACAGACTTAAAACAGAACAGACCAACTTAATGTTTTTCTTGGAACATGAAAAACTTATAAATTTGGTGCATTGAAACTGATATATGGCTATGTCTGGTTCATCAAAGTTATAATTAAGTGACTTTCTTTTTATGGTGTGTAGATTTATTATACTTCAATCAGTCTTATCATAGAATGATATGTTTAAATACCTGTCAGTTGTGAAGTTTAATGGTTGATGAAGAATTCTATGTATTGGAATGAGATTATTTTATCATATTTCTTTATTTGAAATATTGATAAAGGTCGGGTATCTTATAACTAAAATTTTACTTACCTATCAAGTTTTGCTTTGGGAAATGGATGCAAATTATTATTGCATAATTAGCTAAAAACCTGTATCAGTATATTTATGATGACCTTATGTTTGCCAAAACGTTTATATATATATACGCAAAGTGCCTTTCTTTAATTTCCCATTAGTTTTTCTTCAAAATCTTTTTAAAAAATCCTTTTTAAAGGTGCCTGCTACATACCTGCCTTAATCTGCACCTGGTAACTGGTACTATATAATAGGTAAACAAAACCATGAATACAGTGTAACCAGTTTTAATCAAACCTCTTTGAGACTTATGATTTTGTGTGGATTAAATAGAAATTTGGTTTACATAAGTCACTAAACAATATGGACAATGATCTGATACAGGAATTTAGTCTTAAAAGGCTACCAGTTTAAAAGACTATTTTGGCAACTTTTGCAATACAACATCAATTCAAAAAGTTTATGCTGTTTAAACTTCATATTATAATGTTTTGATGGTTTTTTTTGGTAAGTTTAAAATATTTTTTGATAATTTGGAAATCAAGGGACCAAAAAATAGGCTTCATCATACCTTTTCCTTTGAACAGGGATTTCTCTCTTTTTTTTTAATTATCATTATCATAGTTAAGAAAACAAATCATAAATGCCCTCTTCTACATATTATCCCCAATAAACATAATACAATCCACAATATTACACAAATATATTTAATGAAGGATTTTTTTTTAATTTTAAATGTAACAAACAGGTCTACACATACAGTGTCCAGAGTTTATTTCCAATTTTATCATGTGATTCTTCTAATCATTAAAACTGTAAAGTCGAAAAGTAATAAATGTAAGATAGTTATATATATATATTGCTTTCTAATACAAACATTTTTATGCCCCCGCCGTAGCGGAGGGGGCATTAAGTTTTACCCTTGTCCGTCTGTACGTACGTCCCGAAATTGGTTTCCGTTCTCTAACTTGCGTTTGCCTCAACCAAATGTTATGAAACTTATACACAATGCTTATTACCACAAAACACAGATCAAGTTTGAATTTTGGTGGCGTCACTTTAACGGATCTAGAGTTATGCCCCTTTATAAAAGGAAATATTGCAAAATTTTTAGTTTCCGTTCTCTAACTTAAGTTTGCCTCAACCAAATGTTATGAAACTTATACACAATGCTTATTACCACAAAACACAGATCAAGTTTGAATTTTGGTGGCGTCACTTTAACCGATCTAGAGTTATGCCCCTTTATAAAAGGAAATATTGCAAAATGTTTAGTTTCCGTTCTCTAACTTAAGTTTGCCTCAACCAAATGTTATGAAACTTATACACAATGCTTATTACCACAAAACACAGATCAAGTTTGAATTTTGGTGGCATCACTTTAACCGATCTAGAGTTATGCCTCTTTATAAATAGAAAAATTGCAAAATTTTTATTTTCTTCTAAATATCAAGTTTATAATATATTTTTAAAATTGGAGTTATCTTCCTTTGACCATGATTATAGTTGAATCAACTACAATCAATGCTTTATACAATGCAATGTTTAATTTTGACTTCCACTGATAAAACACAGATCAAGTTGAATTTGGGTAGTGTCACTTTAACCATTATTGAGTTATGCCCCTTTATAAATCGAAAGATTGCAAAATTTTAATTTCCATTCTGTAACTGAAGTTTTCCCCAGCCAAACATTATGAAACCTATTCACAATATTCATTACCACAAAACTCAGTAAAGATCAAGTACAATTTTTTTGTTTCCGTTCTCTAACTTGAGTTTGCCTCAACCAAATGTTATGAAACTTATACACAATGCTTATTACTACATAATACAGATTAAGTACGAAATTAGGTGGCAACACTTTTATCATTCTAGAGTTATGTCCTTTTATAAACATAAAAATTGCTGAATTTTTTAGTTTGTCTCAAACAAATGTTGTAAAACTTATACACACTCACGTTAGAGTTATGCGTGTTTACAAATAGAAAAATTGCTGAATTTTTAGTTTCTGTTCTCTACTTAAGTTAGCCTCAACCAAATGTTATGAGACTTACACACAATGCTTATTACCACAAAACTCAGATCAAGTTCAAATTTGGGTAGCGTCACTTTTTCCGTTCTTCAGTTATGTCCCTTTATAACTATATGATATGCAAGCGGGGGCATCATCTGTGTCCACATGTGGACACTATCCACATTTATTTAAAATACAGTACTAGTGTATCATATAGCACAATCATTAAAAATATTCAAATGCCAAAGGTTACATGTATGAAGGGAAATGTAGGGTTTTAAAAGTCTTGATTTGAAAGTATAAAGTCATTAAGAACGGAATGATTTTTATGGCAGCTCACAGCTCATGAGAAAGGCATATCAGTAAGAAATAGAATATTCTCTTAACCACATATATTGAAGTATAGAGTTGTTTCCCCTGAGAATGAAGTTTCCCCCATCTCCGTATTCAGATATTTGGAGGTATTGTTAATTAACAGAGGCACATTAGCAGCTCTAAAACTTCCTCAATCCTTTATTTTATAAGTTATTTGTTCTGTTTATTTTTTTATATATGATTGTTTTTTTTAATTATGTCATTTCGTTTACTAAGTTTTTTTGCCTGTGTACATTTTTTTTTATACATATGTATAAATGTAAATAACGGTACTTGTACAGCTATGTGATTAAAGAACTTAATACTCTACAATGTCTTACTTGTCATTACTGTATTCTGTCATGTCAGGAAAAACAATGTCTTACTTGTCATTACTGTATTCTGTCATGTCGGGAAAAACAATGTCTTACTTATCATTACTGTATTCTGTCATGTCGGGAAAAACAAGAACTGCCAGCTATTGTTCCCTTATGATACCCTAGATATAAGTATTCGGTAAACAGGAAGTTGTTGAGCAATGAAAATGAAAATTCGTCATATGGTAAAGAGTGTTCACATAAAGTATGACACTAAATTTCAGGAAGTTCTGATTTGTAGTTTCTTGATGAAAATTTCATACAATGCTGTTATAATAAAGAAGTTGATGTCCAATGGAAGTGATAATACATTACATCAAATTTCATTGGACAAAAGAGAGACAATTTAAGTGGTATATCCTATTGGACATATTTAAATAAATAGAAAGTTAGACTCATAAAATAATGTAATATCAAGCATAAAATTTTTAAATTAATGAGGATAAATTACACAGAATAAATTGAATAAAATGAGATTTTGGGTCCTTGGGATGTAATTTCAGTAAGACAACTACAAAAAAACAATATATCCAGAGATCACATGACGATTGACAAGTTTCCATACGGTAGCGACAACCTGAGCATAAATTAATTTTTCTAAGTACTAAGGATTTTCTACCCTGATGTAATGATTACCAGAAGAGAAAGTAGATTGTAGCCTTGTAAGGTCAATATAAAGGAAGAATGGACACATGATCTGCACTGTAATTAGATTGACTTCACTGAGAAAAACTTGTTTCACTAGTGGAATAGTGCGACTGGAAATTTGAGATGATATCAATAAACAGTCTTATCAACCGTTAAGATTCCAGACAAAATTTAACTTATTCACAAGAGTGCACATATCTGCTTTACTGACCATTGATTTTATGTTGAAAGTCTTAAAGATGAAGGCTTTACTAAAAGTATCACATAAACTTAACATTTTTAAAGATCTATGAGAATGAGGTCAAGGTCAGATAAATCCTGTCAGACAGACATATACACCTTACATTTTTTTTAAACACCAAATATAGTTGACCTATTACTAATGGTAATTGAAAAACAGACCAAAACACAAAAACTTAATGAGGTCAAGGTCAGATAAATCCTATCAGACAGACATACACCTTACAATTTTTTTAAACACCAAATATAGTTGACCTATTACTAATGGTAATTGAAAAACTGACCAAAACACAAAAACTTAACATTGATAGGGTCAAGGTCAGATTATACCTGCCAAACAGACATGTTCACCTTACAGTTATTCCATACACCAAATAAAGCTGCCCTATTACTATTAGTATTTGAAAAATAGACCAAAACACAAAAACTTAACATTGACCAATGAACCATGAAAATGAGGTCAAGGTTAGATGATACCTGCCTGACAGTTATGTACACCTTACAGTTATTCCATACATCAAATATATTTGACCTATTGCGTATAGTACTTGAAAAACAGACCAAAACACAAAAACTTAACATTGAGCAATGAACCATGAAAATGACGTCAAGGTCAGATGAAACCTGTCAGTCTGACATGTACCTGTTACAATCATTCCATTTACCACATTAAGTTGACCTACTGCTTATAGTATTTGAGAAATGGACCTAATCACGTAACTTTTATTATTGGTCATTGATCCATGAAATGAGATCGAGGTCAGGTTAATCCTGTCTGGTGGACATGTAGACGTTGCAAGGAACCCATATTCCAAATATAGATATCCTATTACTCGTAATACGTAAGAAATTCACATGACAAACAAGAGTGCACACGCTGAAATGTTTCGCCTTCTTTACTAACCATTGATATGTTAATAGTCCTAAATATAAAGCTTTACTACAACTATGACATACATATGTAAACTTTACATGATCCAAGAAAATGAGGTCAAGGTCATATAAACCAAATGAGAAATACATGTACACCTTACAATCATTCAATACACTTAATATAGTTGACCTATTGCTTATAGTTTCTAAGAAACAGACTTAACCAAGAAAACTAAACATTGACCAATGAACCATGAAAATGAGGTCAAGGTCAGATGAACCAAGCAAGGCAGACATGTACAGCTTACAATCCTTCCATACAACAAATATAGTTGACCTATTGCTTATAGTTTAAGAAAAACAGACCAAAACACAAAAACTTAACACAGCAATGAACCGTGAAAATGAGGTCAAGGTCAAATAAAACCTGCAAGACTGAAATGTACACCTTACAATCATTCCATACACCAAATATAGTAGACCTATTGCATACAGTATAAGAAAATTCGTAAGGGTTCCGCGGAACCCAGTGTCTCGCCTACTTTTGCTGTTAATCGCAGGCTCAACAAAAATGAGGAAAAAAAAAATAACAATATTCCTTTCGATACTATCTTTTGATTGTAAGAAGCTTCTGTCCAAGTTTGGTAAAAATCCAGGATAGTTTATGAATCTAATAAATGTTTTAAATCTTTAACTGCAGACTGTATGTAATGTTAACTGGAAGAAAAACAGTCCATTTATAAGTAAAATACGGATAGACAGGTACAAAATTTTAACAAAATTTCCTTCTAGATACTAGCTTTTGATCATAAACTAGCTTCTGACCAAGTTTGGTAGAAATCCAGGATAGTTTAAGAAAGTTATTAAAATTTTAAAAACTTTAACGACAGAGTGAATGTAATGTTTCCTGGCAGAAAAACTAAGTCCATTTATAAGTAAATTACGGAAAAACAGGATATTTTTTTTACAAAATTTACTTCTGGATACTATCTTATGACCATAAACAAGCTTCTGTCCAAGTTTGGTAGAAATCAAGGATAGTTTAAGAAAGTTATTCAGAGTGAATATTTGTGGACGCCAAAATGTAGGATCGCTATGTCTCGCTTTTTCGACAAAAGTCGAAGGCTCGACAAAAAAGAGACCAAAACACACAAATTTAACTATAACCATTGAATCATGAAAATGAGGTCAAGGTCAGATGACACCTTTAAGTTGGACCTTACAATCCTTCCATACACCAAATATACTAGACCTATTGCTTATAGTATCTGAGAAATGGACTTGACCACCAAAACTTAACCTTGTTCACTGATCCATGAAATGAGGTCGAGGTCAAGTGAAGACTATCTGACGGGCATGAGGACCTTGCAAGGTATGCACATACCAAATATAGTTATCCTATTACTCATAATAAGAGAGAAATTAACATTACAAAAAATCTTAACTTTTTTTTCAAGTAGTCACTGAACCATGAAAATGAGGTCAAGGACAATGGACATGTGACAGACGGAAACTTCGTAACATAAGGCATCTATATACAAAGTATGAAGCATCCAGGTCTTCCACCTTCTAAAATATAAAGCTTTTAAGAAGTGAACTAACGCCGCCACCGCCAGATCACTATCACTATGTCGAGCTTTCTGCGACAGAAGTTGCAGGCCTGACAAAAGACTATAATTTGTTTTCAAGCAGTCGCTCAACCATGAAAATGAGGTAAAGGACAATGGACATATGACAGACAGAAACTTCGTTACAAAAGCTATCTGCATACATGATATGAAGCATCTAGGTCTTCTACCTTCTGAAATATAAAGCTGTATACAAATAGTTGAGAGATAGTAATACCGAAGTCTGGCATACTGTGAGTCTGTGACGTTGCCTGAAAAGCAATACCTATATCTCACCTTCTGAGACTTTTGTCCCAGGTGAGACCAAAACTTGTGGGCAGGATTTCATTGGCTGATGTAATGATTACCAGAACAGAAAGTAGATTGTAGCCTTGTTAGGTCAATGTAAAGGAAGAATGGACACAGGATAAGTACTGTACTTAGATTGACTTTACTGAGAAAAACTTTTCATTAGCTATAGTAATAGTAGTAGTACTAGTGGAATAGTGCGAGACTGAAAATCTGAGATGATATCAATAAACAGTGTTAACCACCGTTAAGATTCCAGACATTTTTTAACTTCTTAACAATGTCAGTATGCAAACCTCTCTTTATATCTCAATTGGTGGAAAGTGAAAACAAAAACAATCCATAAGACTCTGATTCTGAAATGGTAAGTACTTTATCTTTCATCAAACATGAGCCTGAAATCACTTAATTAGTAACCTGCTGAACTCACTATTAAAGACTAGTTAATTGGGTGTTATCTCCTTTTATGTAAGTAATGTACCACAACAAATAATGTAAAATATTTTATTGAAAAACTTAATGAAAAGTTTTTATTAAAAAAAACTTACAGCAATTTCACCTTAAAGACATAATAAATTGGGTAAACATGTTAATTACATAGAACTAGCATTTAAAATTTCTTATAGCATTACATGTTATGTCATGTATGCAGCATTTCCAGAAATCACATAAATTAATCTTATATTTATGTACATGTCCACTCATGAAAAGTTGCAAAAATTGATAAATAACAGATACAACAATTTCTGGATTTATAATCTGCAGTTTTTATCAATTTACAAATCATTTTTAATAGTGTATAATAAATCTGCATTTTGTTGAGTAAAACAAGAACAGTATGAGAAATAATCAAGAAAATAATTACAGCAAGTAAACAACATATTTATAATATTCACTTTCCCGCCTCATAAACAAGAATGCACAATGCATACCATATGACTTGTAATTTGAGGTATCAGAGAGCAGGAAGTAAGTGTATGACCGATCTTAAAAGCATTTGCCCGTTTAAACTCATCACTGCCAAGCTGTTGATTAAATATGAACAGAAGTTCATTAAACAGTCAGGGGACTTATTGAAATAAGTGATTTTTAAATCACTTATTTAAGTAGCAAATTCGAAGTTTTGTCACAAATTGTGATTTTGTAGTTTTACCAAAATTTTAAACACATAGGTTTAGATAATAATATCTTTTCATTAGTAAAATTATAAAAAATTAACTTTTTGCTTCTTTTAAGCAGCAAGGTTTATGCCTTTGATGTAATCATTTAGCTGCAAATTCTATTTTAGTTGAAAAAATGCTATAAAAGTGGCTTTACATAATGAACTGATACTTTCTTAACAGATTTTTCCCAGCAGTGGGAGTATTTTTCCTGTAAAATTCAAGGTTTCATCTTATAGATTATGTAATAAAATTCTACTGTTCGCGATCAAAATTTCACTGTTCGGGGGTGTTGAAATTAGTGGGGGTTATTAAAATAATGATACTTAAAGAAGTAAGGAAATTGAGGTATGATACTAAACAAGTGATTTTTATGTCATTATCCTAGATTTAGTACAAGGTCATCACCTGACATGACCCGGTCCTCCTATCAACACAGATGTTGGTTATTAGTCCCTGGATCATTAGTATTCTATATTTAAAGCCACAATAAAATTAAATCACTTAGTCTAGTGATTAATTTGTACTACTTACATAGGTGATTATTAAAGAAAGACAACTCTTACTTCCAACCTTTATGGACATAATGTTACTTGAATCAGTGATTTAGAAAATCACTCATTTAAGTAAGTCCCCTGATTGTTAAAATAAGAGATTGATTGATTGATTTGAATTATTTTTATGTTAAACTCCACTATCAGCACACTTGACTATATTGTGGCAGCCAGCTGAGTACTGAGGGAGAACCGCCATCCTCTGCAGGAAAACTGTCAATCCTGATTAGTACTATAGAATAGTGACTATTTTTTTTTTAGATCATTCATAAATGTAAAAAAATTCAAAGTATAAAAAAACAGAAAGTAGGTGTATATCAGATCAGAAAAATGCTACCACAATACAATTCATCACTGTCAAGACGCTAGCCTAATGTGAAGTCATTCTATCCAGTAGTACAAGAGAAAAATATATTTGTTGGACAAACAAACATGGTAGAATGCAATATATCAAAATATGAAATGAATAATAGAATAGGTGAGAAGAATTCTAAGTTCTGAAATTACATGCATGTCATCTATTACATAATGTTTACATAAACACTTCAGATATCTTAGTCTTAAAATTTGTACATGTTATATATATGGCATGCCATTTTACGGATTCATGTATTTTATGCTTGAAAAGTGCAGCTTTTAGAAAAATTGTTAATTTCAGTCTGTTAAACAATATTTAAGAACAACTCTCTGCTTTTTAGAATTTAAATATTTTAATTTAAAATTATCCACTTATATACACAAAATGTCTTTAATTATTTTATAATGCCCAGTGCAGCAAGTTTTTCCAGTAGGGATGCATGTAAATTTATGAATTTGTTGCCGTGAGATTTTCAATAAAGTTTACAGTAGCATTTATGTTATTGAATAGTATTTCCTCCCCAAAAATTCTTGGGGGATAGATGTAAAATCTTGTTCAATGTAAACCATGTTGCCTGCTTTCAACCAAATAACAAGTGTAATTTCAGAGCAGTTGTGATAAAAAAACATATTTCAAACCAATTGTGACGGAATTCTTCCTTTGCCAACAACAGGAAAAAGATTGATCAATTGATTGCTTTTTGTTTGTGTCATGTCCAGCGACAAATATTTTAAGCATACTCAATTCATAGAGACAAACTTTGTGTAAAGTCGATGAAATAACCAATCATAAATATAAAATGAGTGACATATTTCTGGAATATTTATACTCAGTACTCCACCAAAATATTCCATATTAGAACCAGTTTCTCCTTTAATCATACTGTGCATTATCTTTTTGTCAAGTTATATGGGATTGTGATAGGATGTCTTTTATGGGATTTATGTCAGACTGCATGTATCCTCCTCATACACTGTTATGTTTTTGACACTTAGACTACATTAACTGTGCTAGTGTATGTCACTGTTTGTCAATTTCATCATATCCCGCCACAAAACACTTTCAATTTCTTCCAGCCTATCCCACAAAGAAATGTTCACTCTCAATCAATTTGAAATAATTGACCACTACCTTAGTGTTTGCGGATTAATATTTCTTTGAATAAATGATAAAAATTATCAACATTAAAAGAAATCTGCAGCTGTTTTCCTCTTTGGTAATTTGAGAAGATTGTCAGTAAGGGAGGTAATATCACTTCCTTCACGTTTACTTCCAGGTGTCCGATTTGGAGTTTTGACACTTTTTGGCGTATTTGTTGGTGTAAGTCTGACAGGAGTTTTGTCTCCTGGAAGTCTATGTATCGGTGAAGGACTATAACTGTCTCTGAGAGCTTTATCTGTATGTGTACGAATCCTGAATCGAGAGTTGACAAGTTTTTGTGCTGCAGGAGACATTGAAGCTACACGGTCTGTTGTACTCATACCAAATCTGGCTGCTGGCCTGTGGAAAAAATGCATAAACAAGTTTAAGGCTGGACACTTTATTTTTACCATGAATATCAGATAACTTCAGAATTGGCAAAAGTGAAAATTTTCAATATTAAAACATAATTTCACTTATGTTAATATTTCATTTGAATTTGACAAAGCACACTATTGTATATTTATATATCTTATTGTTTTTTGTTGACAACAATTCTCTTGAATTTAGTGAGAAATTTAGTCAAAATTTGCCTACAATTGGGACATGCCCTAAATAGTTGTCTTTTTGTTACACACCATGTCTTTAAAATGGTTTAGTAGTTGGGTTGCTGTTTCACTGATGTCAAAGGTTACATCTACTTTCCTTTCAAAGAGTTATGTAAAGACATTATGTTTTTGTGCATAGGTGGAGAGACAGGGAAAGATAAGGTCAATCAACATATCAATATGGTGTTTTGTTTGTTTTTATAGTGCAATAAATAATTACGTTGAAAGTCTAGCTGGAACAGATTTAATTCTTACATTGAAAGTCTAGCCGGAACAGATTTAATTCTTAAGTTGAAAGTCTAGCCGGAACAGATTTAATTCTTACGTTGACAGTCTAGCCTAAATAGATTTAATTCTTACGATGAAAGTCTAGCCTGAACAGATTTAATTCTTACGATGAAAGTCTAGCCTGAACAGATTTAATTCCTACGTTGACAGTCTAGCCTGAACAGATTTACCCGGTATAGTTCTTAGTCGAAAGTATAGCCTGAACATACAGATTTAAAATTTACCATGTAAGTTTTGCCTGAACATATAAGTTTAATACTTACGATGAAAGTCTGGCCTGAACAGATTTAATGGCTTTTTCTTTCTTATCTCTATGTGCTTTACTGGCTTTTTCAGCTAACTCTAGAGCTATTTCATCTCTCCTCGGAACATCTGGTATCTATAATAAAACAAAACATTTTAACTTACAAGCAGGGTTCTCACATGGTATTTTTTATGGTGAGTACATGTACACTGGGATTCTTCATTTTTTGCCATGGGGAGTTTCAGCAGTGAGAAATTCTCAGAATATGCAATTTTATTGATATATGGTATAATTTCAGTCCCTATGACAAAATAGAGCAAGGAAATTACACAACATTTATATTATTTTTTAACTTTTGTTATAAAATGATGATATATGTGCTCAGTTGATACAACATTTTACAATTTTGATGCATCTTGGGACTAATAAGTTTTAAGTGACAGGGTTATAATGGCAATAGTTTAAACTCGCATTTTGAATTTTTTTAATATGTATTAAACAGGATTTTTCTCAATATTGCAAAAATTAAAATTGCATTTTAGTCTAAAATGACAAAATCGCAATAATAAATGCACGCAATAATTTCTGAATTTACAGTAGTTGTTTTGTCTTGTTCTGTTGGTCAAGGATATACATTATCTTACTTGAATAAGTTAAATGACTAAATTGAACAACAACATCAGTTAAAACATAAACCAGGTTTTACACCAACATTTGACCAAGGCAGACGACTCCTCCTTCTGCTCATGCCAGAATGTGATATTTTTCTCAGATAAACTTCTTTATATGGATAAAAACCGTACCAAATTTTCATGTGTAGTATTGAAAAGGTATTTTTGAAATATGCATAGAAAGAATTGCATAAAAACCAATAAACTGCAATAAATCTCTGACATAACTTTGAATTAACTTATATAGTTTTTAACAAATGAAATATCTTAAGAAAGCTGGTAAAACAATATATTCTTTTGAGATTTATAATATAATTATCAATAAATGTCCAAAAAGCAGAGAAGTTCTAATTCACCAAAATAGGTTGTTCTTACTGTGTATTCACTTAAATCAGATTCCAGCAAGACAGTAGCTATATTAAAAAAAAAGGTCTTCCAGAATTCTATTTGATAAAAAAGTTTATTATGTAAAAAAAACCCAGTGTTTTGTACACGTTGTTTACATGCTATGAGACATTATAATCTAGTAATACAGAGTTAACATTAATAGGACAGCCAGTAACCTAACAACTTTACCTTAAATGTAGGACCAGGCGTTGCTGTTATAGCATCTGCAGGATCTAACCTAAATGGTGTACTCTCAATCTCTCCCCAAGTCATTAATGGAGACTCGTCTACACCAGGGGCTGGTGATGGAGTACCCACAAATCCATATCCATTTATCTGTGGTGATTCTGAAGGCAATATTTCCTTCCCATCATGTCCTATTTTACCACAATTTGCCATGGCTTTAGCCGATGCAGCTTGTTTCATCATTTCACGACTTTTATTCCGATTCCAAGGGTTAGTTTGAAAGCGTGTGTTGTCATGTACTATTTTCCTTGGTTTCTTTTTCTTCATGTCCACAAGTTCCTCATTGCTAAACTCAGCCCCATCAGGCACATACATCAGAGAGTTTCTAGTTTTGTATTTCCAACTGTTGATTATATCATGGTTCCCTTCAATGGCTGCTTGCTGTTCAACTGAAGGTAGTGCTAGGTGTTCTTTCTCTTCCTAAAAGTCAGAAATTGTATCTTTTTTATAGATTTTGTGGTTACTGTGTATTCATTACTATTCTTGAATACCAATATTGTGGTACAGGTGGATTTTGTGGTACAGGTGAACCAAAAATTTAAATGTTTAACTTATTGCAAATTTTCTATAAGGTTGTTAACTTATAAGTATACTTATAAGCAAAATCAGGAAATCAAATATCCACCAAAATGCAAGCTTTCCTCAATCGAAGAAAATTAATAACCGTAAAAATAAAAGAATTCTCAGTATATATACCAAATGCAACAGGTAAAGCTAACCAATTTAAAATACCAAATTTCAAGAAGCTATTTGTAGTTGCTAAGAAAAATAAAAAAATAGATATATGCATACTAAATCTAAACTGTTGACATAGTGATATGGTGTGCCTTTATGTCATTTTGAAAGAATAAAGCCAATGTTAACATTAAAATGAAAATAATATAAAATATGCAAAACATTTAATGACAATAAACCATGACTGAAGATACAGACTCAAGATTCAAATAAAATCCATTGAAATGAGAACTACTAACTCTCATGACTTATCATACGAGGTTCCTTTTGAATTGACTTCAATACAAACTTTAACAAGTAAACAATGGTCTATGCATGTTTACACATGACCGATCAGAAAATGTGCTACATCGTATGACTTACTCAACGAAACTTAATACTTAAATATCAAAAAGCTCTTGTTTGAAATTGCTCGGGAAATCCAATGAAAGTTTCTTATAATTGCATCAATAAAAAGAACATATGAATACAGCTAACAGTAAGCAGATATTTGATGGATCAAAAAAACAATTTATAACTTTTGAATATTCAAATTATTTTACTATTTTTAAGGCGTTTTATATATAAATTTGGTATTACTGCTTTATGTTACATAAACTATTTAAAACCTTTTAAAATCATTATAAGGGCTATTCCAGGAAAAATGTACTGGGGAGTTGGACAACCATTTTTATACAACCGCAAAAAAATTTTGTGGTCGTATATTGGTATGACGTTGGCATCGTCGTCGTCCGGCGTCGTCCGAAGACACATTGGTTTTCGCACTCTAACTTTAGTTTAAGTGAATGGATCCCTATGAAATTTTACCATAAGGTTCAATACCACAAAAGGAAGGTTGGGATTGATTTTGGGGTTATGGTACCAACAGTTAAGGAATAAGGGGCCAAAAATAAGCATTTTTGTAACTTCCAGACATAACTTGTGTGTTAGTGTATGGATCTCTCTGATATTGTATCACAAGGTTCCATATCACACAGGGAATGCTGGGATTGATTTTGGGGGTAATTGCCTCAAAATATTAGGAATTAGGGGCCAAAAAAGGGGCAAAAAACAAGCATTTTTCTAGTTTCATGACAATAACTTGTGTGTAAGTGTATGGATCTTTCTGAAATTGTACTACAAGGTTCCATATCACAAAGGGAACGCTGGAATTGAGTTTGAGGGTAATTGCCCAAAACGTTTAGGAATAAGGGGCCAAAAATAAGCATTTTTCTAGTTTCCAGACAATGACTTGTGTTCAAGTGTATGGATCTCTCTGAAATTGTACTGCAAGGTACCATACTACAAAGGGAAGGCTGGGATGGATTTTGGTGGTAATTGCTTCAAAATTTTAGGAATTAGGGGCAAAAAAAAAGCATTTTTCTAGTTTCAGGACAATAACTTGTGTGTAAGTGTATGGATCTTTATGAAATTGTACTACAAGGTTCTATATCACAAAGGGAAAGCTGGGTTTGAGTTTGGGGGTAATTGCCCTAAACATTTAAGAATTTGGGGCCAAAAAGGGGCAAAAAAACAAGCATTTTTCTAGTTTCCAGACAATAACTTGTGTTCAAGTGTATGGATCTCTATGAAATTGTACTGCAGGTACCATACCACAAAGGGAAGGCTGGGATTGGGTTTGGGGGTGATGAATAATAAGGGGTTTCAAAAAATTTGGGGGGTATTTTTTTTTCTTTAAAATTTTCCATTTTAAATTGGTTATTTCTGATTTATATATAAAAGCAAATAATAATGATATGGTTTGAATAGGTAAATTAAAAATTTTTAAGTTCTAAGACCACATTCATTCTGTGTCAGAAACCTGTGCTGTGTCAAATATTTAATCACAATCCAAATTCAGTGCTGTATCAAGCTTGAATGTTGTGTCCATACTTGCCCCAACTGTTCAGGGTTCGACCTCTGTGGTCGTATCAAGCTGCGCCCAGCGGAGTATTTTATTTTTGTATGACTCCACCCATAATTTATAGATTCATTTAATTTGTAACAGAATTATATTTGTGTCCTCCCTTATATCATAACCCACTAACAAAATATCATGTGGAGTCAAACCCTCCCATACACTTTTTCCTGGAATACCCAAAAGTTGAAAAAGCTATTTTTGTTCATATATATTTTTTTCCAGGATTAAAAGATGCAGCTACATGTGTGACTGATGCTTTAGTATCTATGGCAACCATTGTAGAACCATCGTTTATATGGCAACTGCTTCTATAGCAACTGCCCTTTTAATGGTTCTACATATTCTCTTGCTTAGTTTACTTACTTCAGTTCTTGACTTTTCATTTTCAAACAGCCAAGCATGTTTATCTCTGTGTTTTTGTTGGGTTTCTTCCAGTATCTCAGTAAATGAAGCATTATCTTCACTGGTATTCTTAGCTAAGTACTGGTCTAATGATAACTTCTTAGTACCTATGAAATAAATAATAGTGATATTCTTGGCTAGGTACTGGTCTTTTGGTACTTTCTTTGTACCTATAAAACAAATAACATGGTGATATTCTTAGCTAGGTAAAGGTCTAATGGTAACTTCTTAGTACCTACAAAATAAATATGAAATAAACAAGAAATTGCATTTGATGTTGTGCTACATCAAAGTACCAGAAATCAAGAAATAGATGTGGGACTGATTTTGAAAAATCCTCCAAAGTTAAAACTCAGCTTGATCAAGCAGCTAACCAAATATATATTCTTTTTAGTATTTCTGTGTGACAAAAATACTAATGATAAATTCAAAATATGGGCAATCTGCAAGTAGGTGTCTGACAGGTCCCAAAAGTGCTCATAAATATTTAAGGTTTTTAATTGACTGCAACCTTATCATCATCATATATATATATATATATATCATTCTAATATTTTGATTTGTAAGACAAAACTTGTCAGTAACAATCTAAACCTACCACTTTTACTGTCTTTATTTGTAAGACAACATGTGTCAGTAACAATCTAAACCTACCACTTTTACTGTCTTTATTTGTAAGACAACATGTGTCAGTAACAATCTAAACCTACCATTTTTACTGTCTTTACTTGTAAGACAACATGTGTCAGTAACAATCTTAACCTACCACTTTAACTGTCTTTATTTGTAAGCCAACATGTGTCAGTAACAAACTAAACCTACCACTTTTACTGTCTTTATTTGTAAGACAACATGTGTCAGTAACAATCTAAACCTACCACTTTTACTGTCTTTATTTGAAAGACAACATGTGTCAGTAACAATCTAAACCTACCACTTTTACTGCCTTTATTTGTAAGACAACATGTGTCAGTAACAATCTAAACCTACCACTTTTACTGCCTTTGTTTGTAAGACAACATGTGTCAGTAACAAGTCTTTATTTGTAAGACATGTGTCAGTAACAATCTAAACCTACCACTTTTACTGCCTTTATTTGTAAGACAACATGTGTCAGTAACAATCTAAACCTACCACTTTTACTGTCTTTATTTGTAAGACAACATGTGTCAGTAACAATCTTAACCTACCACTTTTACTGTCTTTATTTGTAAGACAACATGTGTCAGTAACAATCTAAACCTACCATTTTTACTGCCTTTATTTGTAAGACAACATGTGTCAGTAACAATCTAAACCTACCACTTTTACTGTCTTTATTTGTAAGACAACACGTGTCAGTAACAATCTAAACCTACCACTTTTACTGTCTTTATTTGTAAGACAACACGTGTCAGTAACAATCTAAACCTACCACTTTTACTGTCTTTATTTGAAAGACAACATGTGTCAGTAACAATCTAAACCTACCACTTTTACTGCCTTTATTTGTAAGACAACATGTGTCAGTAACAATCTAAACCTACCACTTTTACTGCCTTTATTTGTAAGACAACATGTGTCAGTAACAATCTAAACCTACCACTTTACTGTCTTTATTTGTAAGACAACATGTGTCAGTAACAATCTAAACCTACCCCTTTTACTGCCTTTATTTGTAAGACAACATGTGTCAGTAACAATCTAAACCTACCACTTTTACTGCCTTTATTTGTAAGACAACACGTGTCAGTAACAATCTAAACCTACCACTTTTACTGTCTTTATTTGTAAGACAACACGTGTCAGTAACAATCTAAACCTACCACTTTTACTGCCTTTATTTGTAAGACAACATGTGTCAGTAACAATCTAAACCTACCACTTTTACTGCCTTTATTTGTAAGACAACATGTGTCAGTAACAATCTAAACCTACCACTTTTACTGTCTTTATTTGTAAGACAACATGTGTCAGTAACAATCTAAACCTACCACTTTTACTGTCTTTATTTTAAGACAACATGTGTCAGTAACAATCTAAACCTACCACTTTTACTGTCTTTATTTGTAAGACAACATGTGTCAGTAACAATCTAAACCTACCCCTTTTACTGCCTTTATTTGTAAGACAACATGTGTCAGTAACAATCTAAACCTACCACTTTTACTGTCTTTATTTGTAAGACAACATGTGTCAGTAACAATCTAAACCTACCACTTTTACTGTCTTTATTTGTAAGACAACATGTGTCAGTAACAATCTAAACCTACCACTTTTACTGCCTTTATTTGTAAGACAACATGTGTCAGTAACAATCTAAACCTACCACTTTTACTGTCTTTACTTGTAAGACAACATGTGTCAGTAACAATCTAAACCTACCACTTTTACTGTCTTTACTTGAAAGACAACATGTGTCAGTAACAATCTAAACCTACCACTTTTACTGCCTTTATTTGTAAGACAACATGTGTCAGTAACAATCTAAACCTACCACTTTTACTGCCTTTATTTGTAAGACATGTGTCAGTAACAATCTAAACCTACCACTTTTACTGCCTTTATTTGTAAGACAACATGTGTCAGTAACAATCTAAACCTACCACTTTTACTGTCTTTATTTGTAAGACAACATGTGTCAGTAACAATCTAAACCTACCACTTTTACTGTCTTTATTTGTAAGACAACACGTGTCAGTAACAATCTAAACCTACCACTTTTACTGTCTTTATTTGTAAGACAACACGTGTCAGTAACAATCTAAACCTACCACTTTTACTGTCTTTATTTGAAAGACAACATGTGTCAGTAACAATCTAAACCTACCACTTTTACTGCCTTTATTTGTAAGACAACATGTGTCAGTAACAATCTAAACCTACCACTTTTACTGCCTTTATTTGTAAGACAACATGTGTCAGTAACAATCTAAACCTACCACTTTACTGTCTTTATTTGTAAGACAACATGTGTCAGTAACAATCTAAACCTACCCCTTTTACTGCCTTTATTTGTAAGACAACATGTGTCAGTAACAATCTAAACCTACCACTTTTACTGCCTTTATTTGTAAGACAACATGTGTCAGTAACAATCTAAACCTACCACTTTTACTGTCTTTATTTGTAAGACAACACGTGTCAGTAACAATCTAAACCTACCACTTTTACTGCCTTTATTTGTAAGACAACATGTGTCAGTAACAATCTAAACCTACCACTTTTACTGCCTTTATTTGTAAGACAACATGTGTCAGTAACAATCTAAACCTACCACTTTTACTGTCTTTATTTGTAAGACAACATGTGTCAGTAACAATCTAAACCTACCACTTTTACTGTCTTTATTTTAAGACAACATGTGTCAGTAACAATCTAAACCTACCACTTTTACTGTCTTTATTTGTAAGACAACATGTGTCAGTAACAATCTAAACCTACCCCTTTTACTGCCTTTATTTGTAAGACAACACGTGTCAGTAACAATCTAAACCTACCACTTTTACTGTCTTTATTTGTAAGACAACACGTGTCAGTAACAATCTAAACCTACCACTTTTACTGTCTTTATTTGAAAGACAACATGTGTCAGTAACAATCTAAACCTACCACTTTTACTGCCTTTATTTGTAAGACAACATGTGTCAGTAACAATCTAAACCTACCACTTTTACTGTCTTTACTTGTAAGACAACATGTGTCAGTAACAATCTAAACCTACCACTTTTACTGTCTTTACTTGAAAGACAACATGTGTCAGTAACAATCTAAACCTACCACTTTTACTGCCTTTATTTGTAAGACAACATGTGTCAGTAACAATCTAAACCTACCACTTTTACTGCCTTTATTTGTAAGACATGTGTCAGTAACAATCTAAACCTACCACTTTTACTGCCTTTATTTGTAAGACAACATGTGTCAGTAACAATCTAAACCTACCACTTTTACTGTCTTTATTTGTAAGACAAAATGTGTCAGTAACAATCTAAACCTACCACTTTTACTGTCTTTATTTGTAAGACAACATGTGTCAGTAACAATCTAAACCTACCACTTTTACTGCCTTTATTTGTAAGACATGTGTCAGTAACAATCTAAACCTACCACTTTTACTGTCTTTATTTGAAAGACAACATGTGTCAGTAACAATCTAAACCTACCACTTTTACTGTCTTTATTTGTAAGACAACATGTGTCAGTAACAATCTAAACCTACCACTTTTACTGTCTTTATTTGTAAGACAACACGTGTCAGTAACAATCTAAACCTACCACTTTTACTGTCTTTATTTGTAAGACAACACGTGTCAGTAACAATCTAAACCTACCACTTTTACTGTCTTTATTTGAAAGACAACATGTGTCAGTAACAATCTAAACCTACCACTTTTACTGCCTTTATTTGTAAGACAACATGTGTCAGTAACAATCTAAACCTACCACTTTTACTGTCTTTACTTGTAAGACAACATGTGTCAGTAACAATCTAAACCTACCACTTTTACTGTCTTTACTTGAAAGACAACATGTGTCAGTAACAATCTAAACCTACCACTTTTACTGCCTTTATTTGTAAGACAACATGTGTCAGTAACAATCTAAACCTACCACTTTTACTGCCTTTATTTGTAAGACATGTGTCAGTAACAATCTAAACCTACCACTTTTACTGCCTTTATTTGTAAGACAACATGTGTCAGTAACAATCTAAACCTACCACTTTTACTGTCTTTATTTGTAAGACAAAATGTGTCAGTAACAATCTAAACCTACCACTTTTACTGTCTTTATTTGTAAGACAACATGTGTCAGTAACAATCTAAACCTACCACTTTTACTGTCTTTATTTGTAAGACAACATGTGTCAGTAACAATCTAAACCTACCACTTTTACTGTCTTTATTTGTAAGACAACATGTGTCAGTAACAATCTAAACCTACCACTTTTACTGTCTTTATTTGTAAGACAACATGTGTCAGTAACAATCTAAACCTACCCCTTTTACTGCCTTTATTTGTAAGACAACATGTGTCAGTAACAATCTAAACCTACCACTTTTACTGTCTTTATTTGTAAGACAACATGTGTCAGTAACAATCTAAACCTACCACTTTTACTGTCTTTATTTGTAAGACAACATGTGTCAGTAACAATCTAAACCTACCACTTTTACTGTCTTTACTTGTAAGACAACATGTGTCAGTAACAATCTAAACCTACCACTTTTACTGTCTTTACTTGAAAGACAACATGTGTCAGTAACAATCTAAACCTACCACTTTTACTGCCTTTATTTGTAAGACAACATGTGTCAGTAACAATCTAAACCTACCACTTTTACTGCCTTTATTTGTAAGACATGTGTCAGTAACAATCTAAACCTACCACTTTTACTGCCTTTATTTGTAAGACAACATGTGTCAGTAACAATCTAAACCTACCACTTTTACTGTCTTTATTTGTAAGACAAAATGTGTCAGTAACAATCTAAACCTACCACTTTTACTGTCTTTATTTGTAAGACAACATGTGTCAGTAACAATCTAAACCTACCACTTTTACTGCCTTTATTTGTAAGACATGTGTCAGTAACAATCTAAACCTACCACTTTTACTGTCTTTATTTGAAAGACAACATGTGTCAGTAACAATCTAAACCTACCACTTTTACTGCCATTATTTGTAAGACAACATGTGTCAGTAACAATCTAAACCTACCACTTTTACTGTCTTTATTTGTAAGACAACATGTGTCAGTAACAATCTAAACCTACCACTTTTACTGCCTTTATTTGTAAGACAACATGTGTCAGTAACAATCTAAACCTACCACTTTTACTGTCTTTATTTGTCTCTTCTTTTTTCTTCTCCACATGATCTTGTTTTGAATGTTGTTGAGGAGAATCTTTTCTACTGTCTGGTTCTGGTGTTTCAAACGTTGCTGGTGTATTATCTGCAGTCATATATAACAACATATAAATTATCATTCTAATGCAACATCGTTTGTAACGTTCATTTTGATTGGATAACGTCACCAAATTTCATGGCATCAATTCACAATTGACGCTTTCAAAATGTACGCGCAAGCAATGCCATCTTGAATTCATATCAATGTGACTTAGTTATTTGCAAGAATCTGAAAATTAAAACTTACTGGTGTATTTCAAATAAAGTTACATTGAACAGTATACAAATAACTAACAAAGAAAAGAGTGTAAAGACAAACATATTTCTAAATGATTTTATTTTGTTATCTGGGTTTATTAGTTGAAAAATTAGCTTCTCGAGTTTCAAAGCTTCACTGTACAAAAGAAATGATCATTGTTACTCATAAATGTCTTCTTGTTTTGTTGTGTTGGTGAACCCATTTTATTGTCAGGTTCTAGTCATTATTTCATATACTTTGATGCCTTTGGAGCTTAAATAGTTCATGAGGAATACAATTCACAAGACAACTGTAGAATTTTGGCAAATAGTATAAAATCTTACCAATTTTTGACCCTATACAATAACAGTCTTCCCAATAAACTTTTGCAGTCACAGCACAAAAGCCTATTTTTTAAAGTATTTTGTCTAGATTCTTTTGGCCTGCAGTATAAATTTTTAGTCCCGATAGAAATTTTACAAGCCTGGGTTGGTGATTCTGTAACCTAGCACGACTACTGCAATCATTCCAATACTTACTATATAGATTTCCTACCTTTTATCCTCACATAAAATTGAGAATGGAAATGGGGAATGTGTCAAAGAGACAACAACCGGACCAAAGAGCATCAATACTCATGATACTTATATACTGTAGACAGTCTACCTTATAACATGTTTATATAATCCCACAAATACATATTTATATACTGTAGACAGTCTTTATAGTCTACCCTATATAATCAAATAAAAATTCAAAAGTTGTAAGCTGTTTACAAAAGCATCAATAATAGCAAACTGTAGACATTCAACATGTTCAACTCTATAAATGTTGAAATTATTACTGTAATCCAATACTTACAAACTGAAGAGGGTCTTCCTTCAGTTCCATATTTCAACTGGAATTCTCTAAGTTTACCAAGATCATTACTTTTTAATGCCTCATAATATTCTGTTTTCTCCTGCAGGGTTGGAAGTTCTGGATAAAAATCTCTAACTATGATGTCTTCTAAATCCTATAAATAAAAAAATATTTTGGGAAATTTAAAATTATTTACTTTCAAAGATTGCTGGTTAGGTAATCATAAAGTAAGGCTAGTCTTGAAAATATTTTAGTTTGCCCAAACCTGTCTCATGTCTGTATCATTGGGTATTGGTAGACTGTTGAGGTTAGGTAGTAGGTACATACTGTTTATACGTGTATATATTGTAGGAAACTGCCGGCTCATACATATGGAGACTGTGCATTCTCCCCACAAGCAGCATGCACAAATAAGTAAATTTGTTATTCATATTTTCATATAAGGTTTGAATAATCTCCACATAATTTTCTGAAAAAATTTACTTGTATAAGGTTTTTTTTATAATCCCAAGAAATTCATGAAAAGAAGCTAGTATGACTTTTTTACTTGTATAAGTAAAAAAATCTGAATGTCTAGGGAAAAACTAAGCCATTAAAATAATTTACCTATGCAAGTACATAAAATGCACTTGTATATAATATATACATGGTATAAGTAAATTTGTAAGATACTTATATATATATCTTACAAATTTACTTATACATGTATAAGTATATTAATATTTCCTTTTCAAGTAAATAATAAAATGCTCCGCTGGGCGCAGCTTGATACGACCGCAGAGGTTGAACCCTGAACAGTTGGGGCAAGTATGGACACAACATTCAAGCTTGATACAGCACTGAATTTGGATGGTGATTAAATATTTGACACAGCATTGCTTGTTTTTTGCCCCTTTTTTGGCCCCTAATTCCTAATATTTTGAGGCAATTACCCCCATAATCAATCCGAGCATTCCCTTTGTGATATGGAACCTGGTGGTACAATGTCAGAGAGATCCATACACTAACACACAAGTTATGTCTGGAAGTTACAAAAATGCTTATTTTTGGTCCCTAATTCCTTAACTCTTGGTACCATAACCCCCAAAATCAATCCCAACCTTCCTTTTGTGGTATTGAACCTTATGGTAAAATTTCATAGAGATCCATTCACTTAAACTAAAGTTAGAGTGCGAAAACCAATGTGTCTTCGGACGACGACAACAACGCCGCCGACAACGGCACCAACATCACCAATATACGACCGCAAAATTTTTTTGCAGTCGTATAAAAATAACTTGTACAAGTAGTACCCCTGTCTGAAATATATCATGTATATGGTATTCATGGTATTAGAAAAAGGAGAATGACAAATGTAAATAAAACAGACAAAACATTACAGAAAGAGAGACCAATCAAAAGATATGGAACCGGTATTACGTACATGCAATATGGGGTTTTTGTCACAGAGACAACAACCAAAAGAGGAATTTTTTTTTTTCACAATTAACTCTGAAACCAAACGTTTATTGTATTAAGAAGTGAGTATTTTTTTATTTCGTCTGCCAATTTTTACGGTTACATGTATAATTGTTTTTAAATTGGTACACACAAACATTTTTATTATTTAAAATTAAAACCATCATTATGACTCACAAGACTGATATAATATGGCATCTAGGATCTGCTATTCATTAGAATGCATGTCGTTTCGTAACCTGGTCGTTTCGTACCTGGTCGATTCGTAACTATGTTGTTTTGTAACTGAGAAGTTTCATAACTGGTGTAAATATATATGGTTATAAAGTGTTAGTTTAAATGAAACAGTTATATTATTTAAAAATGATCAAATTGTTCATCTTATAATAACAAAATTGTAATATTTTTAATTTAAAACTTTCTTAAATCTTTTTAATTATTGGCTAATTGGTAATTACACTCGGTGACAGCTTTAATGGTTTTATGACAACTAATGACAGGTAATAAAAAGTAATTACAGTAGGTGTAAATGATGATGGACAATTTAAATTCTTCTGTTCTATTCGCATGTGTGCAAAACTGTACTTGTAAAGTGTAAAATTATGTGCAATCAATTATTTAATAAACATGATAAATAAATATAGATGAATCGACTGTAGTTACGAAACGGCCTGCACCCATTCATTAACATGTCAATGGTCAACTTTATTTTCAAATGTGTGCTAATTAAGTTACAGGGTGTTTTGCATAAATTATCTCTACCTAGAATGCATCGCAAAAAATTTTCCCATTGATTTTTGTTACTTTTAATAGCAATCTGGCTCAAATCCCGTTTCAATCACAGTTGAAAGTACAGGACGTGATCGCCTCACACTTCCTCTAGTAATGGACTTCTGATAATATCAATCAGATTTCGGGTATTCGGTGCACCCTAATATTTTAGGTGTAAACACAAATTTGTCCACTTTTATTTTGATAAAGTTTTTAACGCCTAAAGGCTAAATCACACCTTAGTGTAAGTTTCTTCGTCTAGCACTTTTAGGTTTTTCACGGACTTTTTATCCTCATCGACTGGTAAATGAGACAGAGTTATGGTTCCATCCAAACGTTTAACAAGCGCTCTTGTTTTCTCGTAGTCATCATTTACGTTTTTGGACATTTTAACAAAAGTAATAGTAACGTTTACTTCAACGTGAAATCGGATCTTGATAACAAACTGTAAAATCTGATCTTACGAAAAGCACTCAACTGACCGTGAGAAGTTCAAGTCTGGATCGCTGTCTCATTTGCTGTTCTCCGGTATATAAAATACCAGGCTAGATTCGAAAACGAAAGTAGGAATAAACAGACCTTGAAAAAAAACCCAGGAGAAAACGACGTGAAAAAATTCTTGTAAAACCGAAGAAGGTTATTTTATCAACATATCAATGGGTAATTCAAAATACTGATTGCCAAGATTTTTTTCTTTAAAGTAAAAAACCACAAAAACAAATAACACACAAAATGAAATAGCCTTGGACAAATTAACATCCTCAAGGAGCAATTCCAAAAAGCATTCATCACTGAATCATCTGCAAACCCAATACCAGTAAAAAACCTAACATCACATGCACAAATGATTGTAATTAAATTAAGAGAAAAGGGTGTCAACAAATTACTGCATAACATTAATCCAAATAAAGCCACAGGCCCTGATGAACTATGTCAGTCAGGGGTACTACTTGTACAAGTAATCTTTATTTACTTGAAGAAGTAAATAAAATATACTTATACAAGTTAATTATATTGTTTGAATAATCTCCCCTTAATTTTCTAAAAAATTTACTTGTATAAGTAAATTTTTTTTACAATCCCACAAAAATTCTCAAGTTTTGAGATGTAAAATCATGCCTTTAACAATTTTTCTCAGGTTAGCTCATAATTTTTGATAAGAGTTCAATGTTTCATCTCATTAATTCAACAAAGAAACTGATTGAGCAAAGATCTTAAGTATTTGCGCAAGACCTTCAAAAATTGCTCCTTGGGGGCTTGTAAATGAGCAGTGTTCTAAAGATAACAGACAAATGAGATTTTCATTGTCCATGAAATTACACTTAAATGAATAGTAAAGACATCTGCAAAGGACAGACAATTCAAAATTCTGTTAGAGCAAAGAAGTTCTAAGAATTCAAGAAAAGAAGATAGGATGACTTTTTTACTTGTATAAGTAAAAAAATCTGAATGTCTAAGGGACATAACTAGGCCAAAAAATAATTTACTTATACAAGTAAATAAAATACACTTGTATAAGTATCCTACAAATTTACTTATACAAGTATATTATAATTACTTCTACAAGTAAATAAAAATTACTTGTACAAGTAGTACCCCTGACTGTATGTGGAAAGGTATTAGAGGAAATGAAAGATCATCTTAGTCCTACATGTATCATTACACTCACCTTCCAAAAGTCAATTAACACTCATAAATACTGACAGACTAGGAAAATGCAAACGTCTGTCCTGCATTCAAAAAAGGAGACGAACACAATGGGGTATTTATGTTAAGGCAGTGTCTGCGCGTACCCGCATGCGGGTACGAATAGTCAGATTGCCATTCATAGGATACGCGTACCCACATCCGGTTTTATAATAAAATGCCATCGGATCGGGAATGAAACGTGAAATATATACGGAAATTATCGATAATATGGGGATTTCGTGTAGAACGAGTGAAGAGTATGAAAAATAATATTTTCAAATTGTATTTATTAGATAATGATACATAATAAACATTGCAAATTAAAGAATCACCCATCAGCAAACCCGAAAAATCCACTTTATGACAAGGCACATGCCCAGATTTTAATTGAAATAGAAAACGGAAATTATTTATTTGCGCAGTCTACTCCCAAAATTATTAGCCCTTTAGGCATCATACCAAAGCCTGATGGGGGTGTACGCATTATTCATGATTGTAGTAGGCGAGGAGGTACTTCCGTTAACGATCTGGTGGGCGAGTTTCCTAAACAAAAATTTCAAACTATTGATTATGCTGCTAAATTGGTGATTCCGAATTATTTTTTGGCAAAAGTGGATTTAAAATCTGCCTATAGATCTGTTCGAATTAGCAAGCAAAGTCAACAAGTTACTGGATTTAAATGGGTTTTTAGTCCCCTACCAACGAAGTCGAAGGAGACTTTAGGTTTGCACTCCGTCCGTCTGTCTGTCCTTCTGTCAGTCCAGCAAATCAGCTTTCCACACTTTTTTTCTTCATGGTTGAAGATATCGATTTGATATTTGGTATATTGTTTTATCATGACAAGTTATAGATCAAGTTAAATTATTTGAAGAATTTTTTAGCAGGTTTGTTTGTTATTTAGTATAAACTAATTTTCTGAATGCTATATATATAAAGAAAAATTTATGAGGAGAAATCCTTTAATTAGATAATAATCTATATTTTTTAATGTATATATTTCAATACATTACATTGTGGTAAATGTTGTTGACATTTTATAGATAAGTTACAAATCTATATTAGTTTGTGACAAATGAAAGAAAAAATATTTGGAACTAAAAATTATATTTAATTATAATTTGAAAATAGATATACACTGTATTACATCAAATCTAATTTTAGAGAACTATTAAACATATCTAATGTTTTTTCATTTCGTCGGTAGGGGACTAACAAGCATTCTGAGAGTATTGCATGGTTTAGGTTTGCACTCCGTCCGTCTGTCCATCTGTCAGTCTGGCAAATCAGCTTTCCACACTTATTTTCTTCGTTCTTGAAGATATTGATTTGATATTTGGTATATAGTTTAATCATGACAAGTTATAGATCAAGTTTGAATTTTGTTCCGGTCTGATGATTTAGTCCAGAGTCCATTCTTTGTTAAATTATTTGAAGAATTTTTTGGCAGGTTTGTTTGTTATTTAGTATAAACTAATTTTCTGAATGCTATAAATATAAAAAAAAATTATGATAATAATCTATTTTTATTAATGTATATATTTCAATACATTACATTGTGTAGATAATTAAAGTTGTTGACATTTTATAGATAAGTTACAAATCTATATTAGTTTGTGACAAATGAAAGAAAAAATATTTGGAACTATTAATTATATTTGATTATAATTTGAAAATAGATATACACTGTTACAGTATTACATCATATCTAATTTTAGAGAACTATTAATCATATATAATGTTTTTTTCACTCATATAATCAGTTTTCCACACTGTTTTTAGTCATGCTTGAAGATATTGACATGATATTTACTTTTTGTTTGCACCATGACAAGTTATAGAACAAGTTAGCATTTTGTTCCAGTTAAATGAATTTTTACCCGGTAGGGGACTATGTATTGCCATGCAATACTCTCAGAATGCTTGTTCCTAATGGCATTGAGCATACTTTATATGATTGCAAATTACCTTTTGGTGCAAAATTAGCACCTAATATTTTTCATAGATTGTTTCAGGCTGTCAAACGTATGATGTCACATAGAGGCTTTACTGTTGTCGCATATTTAGACGATTTCTTGATATGCGAACCAACACAAGCAAGATGTTTAGAAGCCCTAAACACATTAGTTTGCCTTTTGTGTTCTCTAGGTTTTTTGATCAGCTGGTCAAAAGTTGTAGGCCCTTGTCAAAAAATATAATTTTTGGGGATTGAAATAGATTACACGCTTATGGAATTGCGCCTCCCTGATGTAAAACTCTCTGCCTTGAAGAAAGATTTAGCAGAGTTTAAGCAGCGCCAGCGCGCATCAAAAAAGCAGCTCCAATCTTTAGCAGACAAATTAAATTGGGCATCCGCAGTGGTTCATGGCTGAAGAGTATTTCTTCGCAGGATCATTAATAGCTTCACATGTCTTAAGCAAGACTGGCACAAAATACGTGTCCAGGGTGAATTTCTAGCAGATATCATTTGGTGGCAAGACTTTATTGCTTCCTTCAATGGGAAATCACTTATTTTAGATAAGATACCAGTTACGTCTGTTATAACAGATGCTTGTACATGTTGTAAAAGTGGAGGGAGCGGCTTCCATGATTTAGACCGGTTCTATGTCAATAGGGATCAAGATTTCCCTCGTTGTTCTAGTTTTCATATAAATGAACTTGAGGCTTTTTCAGTTATTTTAGCTGCTAAACGCTGGTCTAGTAGTTGGGAAAATAAAAGAGTTATTGTTCTGTGTGATAATATGGCCACAGTTGCCTGCATTAATAAATGTACATCTCGTAACAAGATCTTAATGGGATTTTTAAGGGAACTTTTTTGGTTGTCAGCCTCATTCAATTTTCACATTAAGGCTGTTCATGTCCCAGGCTCTAGCAATGTTTTAGCAGACCACATTTCAAGGCTCCATGAATCGAATTCATTTGAGTTTTTTATGAGATATTGTTTACCCCAGCCCCTGTTTATTTCCCAATTGTAGGAACATATGTCTAATGCTGCCCTTTCTTTTCTTTTGTTTAGGCATACAGGGCACCAGGGATCTGAAGGAACTTGATGATCTGGTCCTCCATTTTCGGTGTAATACATTTGCGGAATCAACAAAAAAGACATACATGACTTATTTAAAATCTTATGTACAGTTTTGTAAAATGTCTGCAATACCTTTATTTCCTTTATCAAATGAGAATGCCGCAAGTTACATTGCATTTTTATCTCGCAGGCTGCAATATAACTCTATTTCAAATTATTTGATTATTATTAAATTAATTCATGTTGAAGCAGGATTACCAGATCCCTTAGCTGGTCATTTTGTACATTCTGTTTTGCAGGGGGCAAAAAGAGTATTTGGAACTGTAAGCAATAGGAAGTTACACATCACCCCATCTATTCTGCGACGAATTTTTACCACCATCAATCTGTCATGTACTGGGAACTTGGCTTTCTGGGCAGCCTGTTTAGTTGCATTTTTCTCATTTCTTAGGAAGTCAAATCTTTTGATTCCTTCTCCATCCCAGTTTGACCCAAATGTGCACTTAAGCAGGCAGGATATTATTTTTCAACCCAAAGGGGTTGTTTTGAGAATCTGCAAAAGCAAGACCATTCAATATGCACAAAGAGTACTTGAGATTCCTCTACCAAGAATTCCTGATTCCCCTTTTTGTCCAGCGGGGGCGTTGTTATTGTTACATAATATGGTTCCAAATAATACAACACCATGTCCTGCATTCATTTATTTACACAAACATTTAGTTACCCCACTCACATATCCAGCCTTTTTGACTCGTTTGAAACACGCTTTACTCCTTTTAGGTATTGACAGCAGCCAATATTCAGGTCATAGTTTTCGCAGAGGTGGGGCCTCCTTTGCCTTGGAGTGTGGCCTGCCAGGTGAGGTCATCCAAGTGCAAGGAGACTGGCGTAACGATGCCTACAAATCCTATTTGGACCCGTCTTTGTCTTACCGTCATCAGGTGATGCA